GGTCATACTGCCTCCGTCATCAGAGTCTGAAGATTTCTGTCTTCTGGGTTGTTGCGCTGTGTAGTCTGGTCGATGTTTACCAACGTTTCAGAGGTCATACTGTCTCCGTCATCAGGGCGATGAATGATTTGGTTACGTTAGGTTAGGTCACGTCAGGCCAAGATGGGTTAGTTTAACTCAGTTCGGGTTAGGTTAGGTTAGGTTACGTTAAGTATGCATGTTATGTATGTTATCGGCGTCGTGACAGTTTTCGACGTGACGCCCGGCGTCAGTTTGCCAAAATCATGTCGCATGGTGCTCCGAAGCTTCTATTAGCTTCATTTACATCCGAAGTCGGCGCCGTGACGTTAGGCTTCTCAATGCTCGGCGTCGTATTCCCCAACGTCGAGTCCAATGCCGTCCGGAAGTTGTCCTGCGCTAGTATGGAGTCTTCTGGCAACATCACTACGAATGGCATCACGCGAGCCCTAAATATGATGAATGCAACTCGTCATTAAATCATAGTACCGGGGGTTCGCAATCTGCGGTCCGCCAATGGTTATTTCTGCGTCAATGTGGAACGACAAATATTTACCGCACGATAAAAAAGGTGAAGTTCGGTCGTGAATGGTCATGAAAGGTTGAAATGTTGTAAGGCCTCTGGTATAAAAGTGACCTACGTAAATATAGATTATTTTGATCTGAATTTCTTATTGTATTAGAGCATCGGATTGAAATTTTCATACTAAATCACAATCCCGTATAACACCCCTAAACATAATGCACAGCGATGTTCATTAAACAACGTCGCTCCTTGCTTAACTCAAAGGCGACTGACTTATCTTAAACGCCAGTTACTTTGAACCTCAGTAATTACAAAGTGTTTAAATTAAAACATCAGTCATTTACTGAAAGCCTTGTCAATTCCTTCTTAATTGTTGTTTTCGGATGCAAGGTCACACATTAGGAAAACTATGGCAACGATGTAAACAGAAAAGGAAATTCCTCAGGTTTGTGGCACGGGAGGTCCTGGGCCATCGCCCTTTCGCCCAACCGCTTCGTCGCCTCTGCCGTTTTAGTCTTGTAGCATGAAACCGAAATATGACACATACGAAAATTGCGTACAAAATTTTAGTTACGAAACCTTCAACGGAAGAGAATACTCGCAAGAACTAGGCGTAGATAAGAAAATAAAATGAAAAGAAATTACAAACTGAATTCACCTGGCTTAAGACGCAGACGAGCGAGTGTACCTCTATGTTGCATACAACCAGGAGATTTCTTGAACAGCTGGTCGACGAACAGCTTGTGAGTCCCTGTTTCTGCTTACTGTGCAGGGTTCTAAGGAGACGTCCCTGTACGTCCTTGACTGCCTGTTCAGCGTCATCATTGTGGGAACGCTGGTCGTGTTTGTCTGGAGAGGCGCCTGGACAATCCTCGACTTATCTCTCTACCCCAGTCACCTGGATTGGTCAGCCTGGACATCCATGGTGAGTGCGTCTGCGCATGACGGATTTAGACCAAATTTGTTATTATAATCTTCTTATTCTTCTTCAACCTAATCGATCCATCTATTACGTGGTCTGCTTTCCTTGTTCCTTCCATTTTACTTGTCATTATGCTTTTCAGACATTCTTTAGTGTATTTTCCTTTCAATATGTCCGCATCGTCTCAATCTGAGAGATTTTAAAAATTTTACGATATCCACCTCTTCTAATGCAACCTCCATCATTTATGGGACCATAGATTCTTCTAATAAACTTTCTTTCTTTAATATATTATGCTCTGCAGTGGAAATTGTTGGGGGTTACTTGAAACCACTTTTTTACTACTCAGAACCCGTTAAGACCACAATCGACATTTTCACAGGCGTGATAACCTCTCATGTTCTTACTGGGCTCCGTTAGAGCGTAGTGCGTAACACGGCAGTCTTGATTTTCGGTGTAGATAACACGCAAAAGATTGTTAAACCATGACAGACGAAATTTTAACTGGATTGAGGATCTACTCATATTCTACAGGTAAATCCCAGAGTAATAAGTAAAACCTGTCTAAAGCGGAATTTAGTTTAAAATGAAACAGGTCTTTATCGGAAAATATTTGTGATCCAGTATAAAATTGCCTGTAATAAAAAATGAACTATTTAACGTAAGTAACAGTTAAAAAATAAACTTAACAGGATGGAGTATTACATATTTATCTTTTATACTTGAAAAAAATCTCGTTCTGTGATTTTCTACTATCGTTTCTGAAATCTGAGCTAGTAAACTAATCTCAAAAATTGGAAAAAAAGAAATTAAGCCTGGTTGCCGATATCATACAAAGACTTTGTAGGTGGATGAAAATATAAACTTACTGATATGTTGTAATAATTTATAAATCCTAATTTGGATATTATACACGCATAGCTTGTGTTCTGTGGGCATAACTGAAAATAAGCACGTGTGCTATGCGTAACTTGACAAAAGTTGAGAATTTTAACCTACGTGGCACAGTCCCAAAATATTCCTTCGTGCAGATAAAGAACAGTCCACTATCAGACAGGAAGGATTAGAGGTTTTCACGGCAGTGAGTCCGAAGAGGGCTGACTCATCGCCCTGAAGATGGCGGCAGCAAGGATCTCCGAAACGTCGGTAAACTTCTACCAGACTACACGGCGTAGCAACACAGAAGGCAGCCATCTATCAAATTACTGTTCATGACGACATTGACGTTGGGCTGGAATGTATACATTTGATCCATTAGTATCGAGTCTAATTGTTTGGGGCTGAAATTGCTACTGGGAAGTTCAAATTAAATAAACGGCCGTAGGAACAGAAGAGCGTTTCGTTCTCAAGGATCACATATGGCAACGAAGGTCGACATTTCAGACATCTCGACCTTTCTTCAAGAATAACAAGCCTTCTGCTGACTTGAGTAACGCGATGATTATCAAATAAAAAGACGCGCTGGATTTCCTGTCGTAATGACGCACAGTTTGGGAAGATTGCTGCCAAGGGCACTCAGCTCATGTCATTGTCTTAAGACGCTGCTCATCGCAAAACGATGCCATCTACAGGGCGCTTTACAACCAGCGGTTAATATGCGTCTCTGATTATACGCGCTTTCATTATCCGCGTTTTCGCTTGCCGTGATTATATTTTAATATCATGAGCAGCATCAGTATCCTATCCGCGGCCACAGTACAACGTTTTCCGTGGAGTTAGTGGGCGTCAGTCACAGATGACAAACCCACCTCCAGTAAGTGACGAAATTGAAAATGCATGGGACTTTATCTTCGGTCCCCGACGTCTTCAATTACTGGGGCTGTCTGGGAGTTCTTTCAACTAAATTCCAACATCACTTAAAAACCCTCAACGACAGGCGGATTCAAATCGCTATTAATCGGCCTATTTTTTATTTTAAGTTTTCGTTGCGAAAAGTCAGCATATTCCGTATCGGAAGCACGGAGAAAAACTTCCGACGGTTTCTCCGTGGCATTCCAACAATTACTCCATTCACACACAGAAGAAGGCAATGGCAAACCACTTCTGGATCATCTGCCAAGAACGTATATGAACAGGTCCCAGTCCGAGAAGAGAAAAGGATGGAAGGATCCTGTTCATATGGACCTGTCGTCAGACAGAACATTAAATAAAATAATAAATACAACTTTGCTGACGTTCAGTGAAGACATTGTAAACCAGGATCACGTTTTCGTCTATACTCTTGCAACAGACTGTCTCTTGAATTCTTGTTAGCACGCTGCACGTAGGAGTTCAATGTGAAAGCGCATGGCACGTAACTTCATGTTAATTGGCTTGTAACAGGGAGTTTTAGAACAAAGTTATCGTATGGTGACTGACACTTCTAGCGCACTGTAAATCGGGAAATTTGAATTTCCATAAAAATTCACAGAAATATTAATCACCTAGTCGGTTTCTGCCCGGGGACGATCTCTAGAGCGGTCTAAATTGGGAGATACTGGACTTTCATAAAATTTATTTCAAAATTAACAAAAATATCAATTGGTTTCCGCACCCCAAGATTTTTTAGTGTGTTAGGAATTGAGAGATCCCATATTATTAAATCAAAACACTCGTATCAGATATTATCAGAGACTTTGACACAGTGCGACATTATCATTGCGTGGAATTACGCGAATGGCGTGTCCCGTAGAGTAATTCATCCTCAGAGCTAAATATGTTCGTGTTGGAAATATTCCGTGCGCAGAGGAATTTTACAGCCTTATACAACAAAGAACAAAGTCTTGTTCTCGCTCTTTGAACTTCGAGCGACTGCTATCGCAGCTCGTCTAAATACGATTTGGGAAAATCACTCCACACTCCTGCTTCGTAGTCAAGAGATCCCGTGTTCAAATCTCGGCCCGGAGACCAGCTACCCTAAATCTGTCAGATGCGATTACCAAGTTCCATATCGTAGTCATATTTGTAATTGTTCATGCATAAAAATTTCTAAAATATAATGTTGTTTTATACCTTCATGGCCACGGTGGTCTAGTGGTCAGAACACTAGCCTTGTAATCTTGGGGTGTCGGGTTCGATTCCCGGCGGTGCCCGAATTTATAACTTGTGTTGGGCAAGGCCGTGGTCTAGGCAACACGGAGTTTTCCTCCGTGGCATCCCAACAATTACTCCATTCACACACAGAAGAAGGCAATGGCAAACCACTTCTGGATCATCTGCCAAGAACGTATATGAACAGGTCCCAGTCCGAGAAGAGAAAAGGATGGAAGGATCCTGTTCATATGGACCTGTCGTCAGACAGAACACTAAATAATAATAAGATGAGGTGGTCTAGCGGTTAGAACGCTGGCCTTGTAATCCTGGGGGTCTCGGGTTCGATGCCCGAATTTATAACTTGTGTTGGGATCCTGTTCATATGGACCTGTCGTCAGACAGAACACTAATAATAATAATAATAATACCTTCATGGAGTGGTTCATTTGTTTATCGTGATTAATTGAAAAACATATGCGAATTTAAACACGTGGATCATTCTAAATATCTGGTTACTATAAATGTTTTGAACGCCTGCATCAAAATACATTTCATCACCCATTTCCACTGTCTTTTAGGAGGGAATTAAAGCGATCAAGTGGAAAATTCTCTGCCGTTTATGTGCACGTCGTAGATACGTGTCCATATATTTTTACGCATGGACAGTGTCCGAAACGTCAGATTTCTTTACCGAACAGACGTTTACCGGGAGAATTTAACTGTGCTTAGTCGTCGTGAAAATACCAGATTTTATTACCACAATGCATTATACCAATTTTGATATCACAATCTTGCGACATTAATAATCGCTAAAGAATGCATCTTGTATTGTTTTGGTTCGCAGGCCCTCGGCTACGCCATTGTGGTACTGACCTTCAGCCTGCAGACGCCTCTGAAGGGCCTTTGCGGGCGACTCGAGGGCTTCAGGAGGGTTTGCGTCGTTGATGTGTATCTGTTCTTCTCCTTCTGCGGCACCATTAATGTCTGGAGGGGTGTGTGGATGCTTCTCAACATCTACTTCCTGCCAGGTAAATCAAGGTGAACACTTTCAGCCTCCAACTGTTGGGCTGTGAGTACGTCTCTGAGAAGCTGGATGTCTGACTGGTCCATTTCCCGTCTCCCAAAAGATATATCAGCGAGTACGCATGATACTGAGAGAGCAAAAACGAAAGACTCGGAGAGAAACCCGCCCCAGTGCCACTTCGTTCACAGCAAATCCTGATGGGCGAAAACCCGGGTCTCCGTGGTGAGAAGCCAGCGACTAACCGCCTGAGCTATGGCACGGCCCAACTAATTTACTAACTACAAGAGCGGATTCTTTTCAACTACTCAACATTCGTTCACGAAGTAAAAATATATAATCCAAGCCTTTTCATGGGGCCCCGTGTTTACAACAGCCAGCCACCATACTCTTATCTTCAGTCAAATCAACCCATTTCTCAGTGTCACAGCCTATAATTTTAAAACCAATTTTAATATTATATTTATAGTTTTGATGCGTCATGTTTGTGTTTAATATTCACATATATATTTATTATTCAAGTCATATACACAAACTTTTAAATTATTGATGTTAAAATTTAAAATTTCACATAAATAATATTTATAACTCAAATGTTAATTATATTGTTAATAATTTCACAGAACAATGAACAACTAACACAATATGCAACATAATATGCAAAATAATAAGAAGAACAAAGAAAACACCTACAATAGTAAACTACAATCTACAATCAACGAAAAGCTTGCATTAATAAATATAGAATAGTTTTAAATATAAAGACCTGAAGATGATGCTACGACATCGAAACATGTAGAAATATTAAAGCGCAACATTGTAACATCGAGTTAACGATGAATGGCGCAGAATATCAATTTTAAATTTTAAATTTTAAATTTTAACATCAATAATTTAAAAGTTTGTGTATATGACTTGAATAATAAATATATATGTTTAATATTATACTTCCATCTATACCCAAGTGTTCCAAATTGTCTATTCTCTTTGGGTTTCCGAAAGAATTTTGTATTAATTTCTTATCTTCCTTGTTCGTGCTACATGCCCCAACCACCTCATCATTTACTTTAATAATATCTGCTCAACAGCAGACCCTGTAAATTATGAGTCCTCATGCAATTTCCTCCAACCTTTTATTCCTTCCCGTCATAGGTCCAAATATTCTTGAACAGCCTCAATCTGTGGTCCTCACTTTGTGACAGAAATCAAGTTACACGCTCACTGAACGACAGGTTAAAGATCTGCATATTATTACGTATACATTTCCATATATTTGATGTGAAGACAAAATTACAAGCACTTTTCGATTTTAATCTGGTCGCCATGTCATCGTCGTGAACGCGTGTAATCGTCCTCCTCAATTTCGCCACAAATTTCGAAAGACTTTTTAACATCTTCATTGCGTTGACTGCCCTGCAAACTGGTGACCGGACGGCGAACAAATGCCACAAATGTGGAAACGACATAAAACGACGTTTTTAAGCGTTGAATAAAATAAAAAAATAAATTAAAATGTAATGACCTCTCTCTTTATGCCAACTGTACCAGAAACCAACATTTCCGTCCTAGTTTAATTCTAACGAGAAGTTCTGGGAATAATTTATGACACGTATTTCAGTCTACAAAGCGATGATACGGTCCAGCAGATTTTTACGGATTAAAAACTGTGCAATTCGACAGCTCCATCGTCTTAGTTACGAGCTACACAACCAGAAGTCCATTGATCGATACCATGTCGTCTCTGGGGCCCACCAGATACGGGTTCTCGTTCAATGCCTCAATATATGGGGCCTTCGCCCACCGTTTTCAAGCTGATGGCGCGTTACGCAGAGGCACCAAGGGGTTCCACCTAACATGGGAGATGAATGCAGAGTTCTTTAGTTTCTTAAGTTGTGATTATTGCTGTCTGCAGATAATCCTGAGGCAAGTTACTGGGTCACCCATGCGGGATGCCTTCTCATTCTGATGCTGATCAAATGTTCCAACTCCATCCTGGTACGAGGAGTCTACATCGACGCAGAGGAAGAGGGCGGGAAGTGCGTCGTCTTTCCTTGCTATTACCTCAGATTGTTCATCCAGGTTAGTCACAAGTAGCGCCTTTCGACAAAGTTATCTAGTGAAATACCGGGGTTCGATTCCCAGAAGGACACTTTTCCTTTCACCACCAAGTAAGTCTAGAACGGCTGTGGGCCCCACGCAGATTCCTATCCAGTGGTATTAGAAATAAAGCGGCCGGAGCGTGAAACAGACAGTTAATCTCCATCTAGTGACAACGTTAAGAATTAATGTAGCCTGACGTTTGCCTACGAGCGTCAGGTAACCTGCGACTGCTAGTTGGCATTCAGGGCGTCTGCAATGCACCCGCCTTGACACTGCGCTCTCCCACGAGCCTATTCTGGGTTGTCTAGGGGTAGCCGAGGGCCGATGTCTTCCGTCACCCCGTCATCCGAACGCAGTCACCGCATTCAAAGCCGTCTCTGCAGAAGCATGGGTTCGATTCCATCCGGGGCACAGGAGTCCGAACTAGGAAGTCACAGTCGGCTCCTTCAAAATCCTTACCTATTCATGAACATCTTCCTACTTCATTCGACACTATAACGTACGCACTTTAACAGAGTCGTCGAATTAATCCCTAAACTAATAAACGCGTTCTAATAATTTGGTTTAATTACCGCCAATACACTATATAAAAATAAAGTCGATTTTCTAAATATCACTTAAAAACTATTTTCCGACGTTTCGGAATATCATCTACTTGAAAATTCGGGACTGAATCGATAGTAAAAGTGTTTTCAGCCGGTACTATTAGAATTTCGATAAGATTTTTACATATTGTTTGCATAAAATGCATAAAGCTAACGCACAATGGGGAGGTCCTCTGCCTGTCCCGCCGTCTTTGCTACTCTTCCGACGCAATAACTGTTAGGCGGATTTATCTAATCAGATCATACGCCATTGGTGGATATACCTTCCTCGTAATTTTTAATTATTGACAAGTACATGGAGAACGCGCGAGCTGTAAACGACAGGAGCAGAACGACTTCCTGGGATACTCTCAAGAGCATCTACCGTAACATGGAGGCGGCGAACGTGGCCACCTATTCTCCCTGGGTGTCCATACCGAAGGAGAAAATAATTCCCCGTCGGTCAGGAAGATCGCCCACAGGAGAGGTCGCACCTCCGGCCATTCATCCGAACAACACTTCTTCAAACCACTAGGAAAATAAATCATCCCTTCACTGATCTGAAATTCCTATTGAATTAAGGGCAGAAGGAACGATATTTTGTGCGAATATAATTAGAAATTCTGAAAATTAAATAAAATATAAAATCTACACAAAATAAAATAAATAATGTCCCGAAAGATGCATACACTTTATAACACAAAATATTAACCTTGTTATCGACCCCCGTGTGTTGTGTTTACGGAAGACATGAGCAGCGGTCATTTTGAACACCTGCACCAGATTCGCAATATCACCGAGTGCCAATGCTGATGTCCACCTGTACATACAGAGTGATTCAAAATTTTAGGGCCAAACTGAAGGAGGAACTCGGAGAGAACGACTTGCGAATAGGAATCCGTGTCCTCCGAAGTCAGCCTGAGTCTGAAATAATCGTACCCAGGGGCCTCTGTAGGATCTGACGTGATTCAAAATTAAGCTAGTAGGAGAATAGCAAAGTACGATTATTTCAGCGGTACGTTATCTGACTTCCCTACCTTCAATGGCCTCGACAGACTCAGGATGACTTCGGAGGACACGGATTCCTATTCGAAAGTCCTTCTCTCCGAGTCCCCTCCTTCAGTTTGGCCCTAACATTTTGAAATCACCCTGTATAATAATATTAACTTTTTAAGTCGTATTCGTGTTTCTGATCCAGAAAAGGAGACGAGAGAAGCTTCTTCAGCTCCAAATTCAACAGCAACTGCAGCAAAATGCTACTCACGTCGCAACGACGAGGAAGGGAACGAAAGACGTCGACAGCAAGACAGCCGCTGGATTCATCACCGTGGACACGCAACAGCCGAACTGCACGGCGAACCACCACGCGCAATTTCCACTGGAGACGCTGGAAGACGTCCCATGACCGGGGCAAATGCTAGCGTTGGGCAAGAGACCGCGAACACGGCCTGATTCAAGAGTGGAAACCATCCACCTCTAGCTTAAATGTAAAATACGTCTCTGGACAAAGACCTCCAAGAGAACGGTCCATTGGCCTGTGTGATTTCCGAGTGTTGCGTTCTTCAAGGAAAGACGAATATTTCCTCTACTGGCATAATTTCCTAGTCCCTCTAAATAGCATGTCGCTGGCGCAGTGGCGCTGTCTATTATCAGACATTTACAACAGAGTCAGTTCTTACAATTTGTTGTGTGTGGCTGAATCGTGTGTCCTCTGAGTCTCCTGAACGTATTCATGACGTCATATTAACCTTTGGCACCGTCTGTTGACTGAGGCAAGTTTGAATATGGACGACATTTCAGACAGCCTGGACACATTTCCGTATTAACGTAACATAAGTCACTACAAGGCTTACTGACAGATTATACAAAACCGTGGTGGTTCAGACGCTGGCAAACAAAATTTGCATTCGGATGGTACAAGGTCAGATCCAGAATTCTGTTATCGAACCTAAAAAACCCCATTATCATTAGCATAATGACAATCACTTGACTACAGAAGCAGAATGAACTCCCGAAACGTCGGAAATATTCACGATACGTCAGACAATTGACAATATGCATCCCTCGGGAATGGGAGGCCGCGCCCGTCCTCCGTTCAGACGAGGAGGAGTTAAGGACTACGCAGGACTTATTAAGGACCGAGGTTCTGACGGATCAAACTCTTGAACAAAACTTGAGTTTCCAACGATGGAGAGAGTTCGTTGCAGTGATCTGAGTGTCACATCGTACTAAACAGTAACAATTACCGACGTTTCGGAGAAAGTTGCTGCCTCCTTCTTCAGTGTCGATACACTGGCTATTCAACAACGAAATTTAAGAGTGTCAGGTGTATTTTTTTTTTTAAAGATTCAAAACGCAGTTTAGACAACTATTCTGGCCTGACGAAAGAAAATCTTTACAGAGTACATGTGTTATTTGTAAATTCGTTTTCATTAATAGCTTATTGTGTCTCGGCGTCTTGACCGGGGGGCGGGGCGGGTTACTTTTCTAACAGAACAGATTTCACCCTCAGCAACAGCGACAAAGAATGGTTCTGTTCACAGTATTAATACACGGCTATTGCAGTTTTTGTCGGACACTCCCCGTTTTCTCAAACATACTTCGGAGTTGGCCGCACTACCGTCTTCAGCTGATTGGTATTATTTTAACTCCGTATCGACTGTCAGTTTAACCATAGCTGTCCGGCGAGCCTACAATTCAACAGGACCTGGGGGCAATCCCGGTGATCGCCACTGGTCCTTGTGCAAAGAAGTCTATCAGTAAACTGACAACCAATCGCCTACAGAATGACAGCTCAGCGCCTCAGACAAGGGACAATGACTGACGTAATGAATCAACTGCAGTGCACCGAAGTCATCAGCGTCTGAAATGAAATCATTCCAGAATGTCAACTGGTAATGCAGTGAAAATAAACTGAAGTCATCGCCATGAATTATGTGTGAAACGTTAACAAGTTGGCTATCAAAATACTATGTAGGACTAAACTTGTGATTTCGTTCAAGTAAAATGCTGGAGACTTTGTAACAAATCCAACAGCGTTTAAAATCCTATCAAATGCGCATTTTTCCAATATAATAATGTATTTATGGGCTTAATTAACAACCTATAATGAAAATAAATAAAAAAATAATTTTACACACATTCATAATAGGTTGTTCACAGGAAGGAAAACGTGAACAATTTGCCTCCTGAGAACTGATTCCGAGACACCTTAATCCAATCACTAACACCGACGTTTTCCGAAACCCTGTGTATTAATCCAATCACTAACACCGACGTTTTGATATATCGTTTTCCGAAACCCTGTGTTCTTGTACACAGAAAATCATTACCATTTCCCAGTCGCTCAGCTAATCAATAAATTCGTCGACTTTTATGAAACTTAAAATTTCATTACGTTGTCCATTAGACCCCGCCACCGGTCCATATCAGCCAGATGATTCCATTCCACAACCTTTTCCCGTTTACATTGGGATTCATTTTAATATTATCATTACATGGACAACTAGGTATAGTGAGTGGCCTCTTCCTTTCGATCGCCCTTTTTCGACCTGATCATCCCATAACAGAATCTAACAAATTCGATGGCACAGTAGCTGAGAACGGAGATGCCTTGTTTACGTCAGTCTAAAATCGACAGTCGAACCTTCCACACTAAAAACGTTGTCAGGCTCGTTTTAAACAACCGATGTCCCCCCGATGATACTTGTGATACATCTTTTTTAAGATGATAGTCTTCTGGATTCTTACGCCGTTTAGTCTGGTAGAAGTTTATCGACGTTTCAGAGGTGCTTGCTGTCTCCATCATCAGAGCAGTGAGAACCCGAATCTCACAAAACGTGCCATCAGCGATTGGCTATCTTTCGTCGTAATCTGAAATCCTTAAATCGATTCTACTCTTGACAGTTTTCATTAATTTTCTCAGTCGCTCCAGCAAAATGCTAAAATAATGACCTGGACTCCGACACTACCACCTCCTGTCAATTCATCTTGTTCTCCTACCACTCGTCAGTGCGATCTATGATACATGATGGAAGAATCAGTTCATCTTGAAGTGTTCACGACTCTGAAGACGTTCGCGTTGGTTGTGTGGGTTTCAGCGCCATCTGGACTTGCAGGTAGGTACCATCGCTTAGAAGAAACAAGCTGTCTACACAGCCTTGAAGAAATCATGGAATTTTATTTTTGTTTTACGATTTCGTATTTCAACGCCATCCTCACTTCCGGTGGACAGAAGCAACCCAGTTCAACAGAGACAAGGTCTCACCAGAGGCTGATGTGAAAACCACCGTCGGGTTCGAACCCAGGCCGTTTGTGATAGTCGTCTTTACTCAGGCTCTGTGCCACCCAATTAGGCACCTTGACCTGACACGGGTCACATTCAAACTGGCTCAACAGCTACCAGGGCAGACCTCAGAAACATAACCGAAATTTGATTTTCATAATGAAACACGCGGACGAATCGACATGACTTAACAATTAAGACTTTTTTTTCTAAAGTTTGATTCCAGAACTAACGAGAAAAGTCTTGCTGGGATATTTTGTAACACTCAGTACAATAGTCTAGTTGGTATTGTGTAAGTTTAAAGCAAGGAGCAAGGCCAGATGAAATTTCAAAAGTAATTTAAATTTAAAATTTAGAATATAAATAAGCAAACAAACAACTATTTAATTAAATGGATTGACCTCTTCAGGTTGAAACACGTATTGCAATAGTATCTTTTTTTATAGTGTTAAATGAATGAGATTTTTAAAACAATAAATGAAATGATATTTCACGTGTACTATGTAATATGTACTCGTGAGTTCATATAAGAATGCCACTAACCTGCAATTGGTCATTCGTTTGAATCTTGCTCAAGTTAGCTTCGGATTTCGTCTGCTAGAGAAACTTCATTTATTGTAGTACAAACACAACTTCTTATTAACCTACTGTGACGTAAACTTAACTTATTAAATCAAATCAAATTCTAAAGCGACTTTCGTTGGAGTCTGGAACCGTGCAAATTCTCAACTCTACGATGTAAAGCGATTAAATTATTACGACAATTATTCTTGTAGATTAAAGCTTTCTGTGAACGTACACGATCAACAAGGCAGTGTCACGTTCCATGCCCAGAACTGTTCGTCAGATTTCAAAAAGGTAAATTCGTATTTAGAGTCTATACAGACCACGACAATTGATTCTAATTCAGTCTATCTGGTATAATCCCTACGTTACCTACAGCTCAAATCGAAACGTATTTTCTAAAAAATTTCTAACCACAAAAAAAATTTAACAAAATATGGATTATTAGTAACAAACAAGCCTTCGACTATTTTAACAAAAAACCGTGAACACAACAGGCTGGTCGATACACGGGACTGTTAATCAGAAAAGTTCAGTTTTTTATCGACTATCTTCGCCAGCAACGAAGATAATATCTATGTAAAACGGGGTTTCATAGAGTTGGAATCCTGATGGACATCTGTTCAGCGCATTAGGATTCAGGCAGATGGACGTACTGCATTAACTACTCTATTTATGTACATGATCGTCGCCCTGATGATGGAGGCAGCAAGGACCTCTGAAACGCTGGTAAACTTCTACCAGACTACACGGCGCTACAACCCAGAAGGCAGACATCTTCGTACGCATTGTCGTGAGGCCCTCACATCCCAGTTATCATACCCTCCTTAGCTCCGTGTGACTTCTTCCTCTTCCCAAAGATGAAAATTCAGCTAAAGGGAAGGAGATTTGAGACGATAGAAGAGATTCAGGCAGAATCGCAGATGGTGCTTGACAGGCTGACAAAGAAAGATTTCCAGGGATGCTTCCAGGATTGGCAGCGGCGCTGGGATCGTTGTGTTCACTCCCAGGGGAACTACTTCGAGGGTGATGGATGAATTTAATACCTGAGATAAGTGTACGGGTTTTTATAGGCGCAGTCTGGAAAATTTCCGATCGCACCTCGTATACGCGTTCAGTCCGTGTGACGCCATCCGGTCCGAATCTCGCTTAATGACCTCCGTGGTATTCTCAAGTCACTCCAAGCGAATGCCGGGACAGTTCCTTCAACTACACAACCGTCTCCGTCCAATCCTTACTTGTTCACCATCAGCGATGCCATTCGGAGCTACGTACACTAACAAACAAATTAACTAGCTCCATGGGGCAGAGTCCTTCCTGAAAAGCTGACAGTCGCCAGGCCTCTTAAGCATCCAGAAGGTTCATTACGGCGTTTACAACATTCCCACCACTTGTCTCTATGCTTTGCCAGATGAATCCAATCCATGTCATTCAGACGAGAGAAACTGAGTAAACTCCAGTATCATCGAACTGGTTTGGTTCAAAGAGCAGAGGAAATTTCGCAGATATGAAACGTGGAAAATCTTGGACAGCTCTCACGTCTCCGCAATGACGTTAACGACTTCCCTACTCGAACAATCAACCTCCCAGCGTCGCTCTGCCCCTTTCCAGAGCCCCCCTGACTGTGACTGCAGTTCCGTGCAGCCATTTGTAATATCATTTTTAAATACCCTTCGCCTGTTTGTTAATTAAACGCGCACTGACTGAATTGCTCCCAATTGATGGCGAAGCATCCTGTTGCCCAACCACAGATACAAACATCCCTGGAGTGTCTCTTAATATTCACAACCCGTCGACCAAACGAGGGCTTTTGTTGCAAGCAGGAAAATGCTACAGGACACGCAGTTTTAATCAGGAAGACGGAATTATAATTTCGATATCGACTTGTTCCCCTTATATTTTGCACAGAGATGCATTGCAGCTTATAAAGCCTCTTAATTGTAATGAACTGTGCTTACGAGATAGACACACACGATCCAGGAAAAGAATTCCATGGTACACGATCTGCTTTAACAGCTGATGGTTACTCAGCTGGTCAAAAATATCGTAACTGTATCGAACCCAAACATTCATTACCGCGTTCACAAAAGCACATCAGATCCTGCACTAAGCCAGTCGAATCTAGCGTCCGCCTTTATACCCAACCTGACCTAACCCAACCTAACATAACCTAACATAACCTAACCCAACCTAACCTAACCTAACCCAACCTAACCTAACCTAACAAGATCATTTGCCATTATTACCCAACTCACGCCTGACTTTCCTTCACGGTTCTGACTCAGAAATGTGTACGCCTGTAATATATTCCTTCCATTTTATTCTATTTTGATTCAATCACAGAAACGATTGTAGTGGAGTCGGAGTCAGTAAAAATGTACCGACTCCGAAATCGATATAAAATCTTGAGAACTGAATATTTAAATATTATTACACGTTAGATATTGAATAATGTCGAAGACGTGCTCTTTGCTTATATTGTGTACAACGTGTATTTATTTATTTTTTTTGCGTGGAGCTTAAATCAATTTCTTTTGGTTTTGTGTACGCTTACCACGTACGGCTAGGGCAATAAGAAAACTACTTAAACACACAAAGACCAAATTACGTCTGTTATTAACATTTACAAGCAGAGCATTAACAGAATCACCCCATAGACTAAATCAACCAACATTAAAAAATAAATAAGATACAAACACATCCAAACGAGCGGGTGAATCTAAGGCCAAGTTATCTCCTCGCCTCCTCCTTGAGCCCTAAAATAACTCATTGTCCAACAGAAAGTGTGAGATTGTTTATCTCTGCTTAGGCTTAATACTTTTCTATTTTTGTTGGCAAGATGTTCCAGGTGGACGCCTGACTTGGTAACGGATAGGCTACCAGCAATGCGCTCGTCTGAGCCAAGAGATGTCGGTAATGCAGCCCGCTGTTGTCACCTTCCAATGACGGTGAGCTTGATTGCTACTTGTTTCATAATGACAGGCAGACAATCCATGTTCAGAAATGACACGATGCTGTGTTAGCAAGTGTCCTTGTGTCGAAATGTACTGGGCAATTGGGGAAGGAGCCATAGATGGGCAATGTGCTTCACTACGAGACACGGATTAAACAGTCGCAACAACTTTCATTTTCCGTCATATGCTCCGGTAGGACTACGGGATTTTATCATTTATCGGGGAGACCTAAGGGTAAATTGGAAAATATTATTGAAATTTATGAAAAAAAGGAGTGTGGACTGGGGTCCACTGACGTTGGGTAGAAGCTAATGACGGGCTTTTGTGAACACGGAAGTGAACATTTGGGATTCATTAAAGGCAGGGCATTCTCTTATTGTCTGAACACGGACGACTGTGGGTTTCATTCATATTTCAAAAAAAGGCGACTACAGAAAATTAGACGACGCCCGCTTCCTTTGCAGTTCATCGCTCGCTCACTCACTGCCCTACGACGACGCCACACACACGAAGCTGCCGACAGCGTCGTTAAACGGACGGACTGCCGACGTGACGTGACGTTTCGTAGTACCAGAGTTCCGAAATAGCAGTCGAGACCTCGCTGCGTCGCGACGCGGATAACTGAAGTCCGTTGTTAACCGCAGACAAGGCGACAGTCGGAACGTGGCGAGCAGTGCATCATGGGAGTGCAGGACGTGCCAGCGGCCATCGTGTCAGCAGAGTTTGAGGTCTTCGGACAGGTCCAAGGTTCGTGTTACAAGGCAAAGTATCGGCTCTCGTGTCTGACCAATTAAACAAACAGCCCTTTGTGCGAGATGTGTGCAATTTATTCGCTCTGATCACGTCTATAAATTGTGCGGAATTCGTTAATTACAAGGTTTTAGATTTGGTCATGTGGTTACTACGTAAATCCCCTGCTTTTTTTAAAATGAAACTCTTTAAGTTTATCGCCGTGTTAACAAAATCCCATCTGTTTTTTGAATTCACATCCTCTTTTGCAAGTTCCATTTTGATCTTTCCTCCCTTCAAAACCTTCTCTTCATATTTCCCTACTAATATTTTACGTGCATTTATCGTTTCCTTGAGCTACAGGTTGGTTTCCTAATTTTGTAGGTTGTACTTAAGTTAAATACGGAAGAAGCTTAAACATTTATTCCTATAACTGCCATATTTGTTTTTAAAAGTGGCTTTCCTATGACATTGTTTCCGACTCTGATTCCTCAGAAGATAGAACCACTGTTATGTTCGTAAATCATAGTTGATAACAGGAAATTAGTAAAAAAATTATTAAGTAATAACGATATTTAATGGAGTGGTCTCCACGCCCAGTTTAAATATGCTCAAATTGTTACTTGTAAGGAAAATGTTCAAAAGAGCTACAAATTCAGTAAGTGAATTTAAAAAAAAGAAAAACTTGTTGTTTAGCCGACAGGAGCCGGGCCGTTGTTTGGGCGAGCAGTGCCAAATTACCTCTCAGACAAAGGATTCTCACTGCCGGATGCCAAGGTGAAACAGTTACCTACGAGCTATTTCTCAGGAACGGCTTCTTGGGCTATGTTTACAGTTCAGATGTAAAGGGTTTCATGCAGCCGGGGAGATAATAATAAGTTACTCAACTAATCAGTAAATTCCCCATATTTTTATATTCACAGAATCCCACCACCAGTCCCTGAATCACATACGTCCAGTCCAGGCCCTACATTTTAATATTATCCTCAAAATTCCCCATGGCTTTATGAACGCCACCTATCTCATCCTCCGTCAGTTGACATCCTGATAACATCTCGTAAACAGTACAATCCATGGGTGTAAAACCAGGTCTCTGACGTCCAGCGAAGAACAAAGATTTAGGGTTTTTGACAACAGCGTGCTTGGGCGGTGGGGGGGGGGGGGGGGTTAGTTGGACCTGAGAGGGATGAACAGACATTAGGGTTGAGAAGCTCCACAAGTTTAATGAGATGGGTGGAGCATACAGTGCACATGAGGGAAATATGAAATGATCACAAAATGTTGGTCGCGAAACCTGAAGGAAAGAGGCAACTCGGAAGATCTTAGCGTAAATGGGAAATCAGCATTAAAATTAATCTTACAAAAATACTTTTGTAGGGTGTGAATTTTATTCCTCTGTCTCAGGTGGCGCGTTCTTATGAAAGAAGTGAAGGTCCTTCGGGCTCCACAAAGAACCGGGGATTTCTTGACTAACTGAGCGACTGTAAGCTTCTTAATAATTCTGCTCCGTGCAGTAAGTTTGATTCAAAGTCGATCTTGTCCCATATAAGACTTTTTTTTGGATACGAAATACACGAATATCAATTTTTTAAAACTAAATTTCGTAGAGAATTCTCTGAATTTAATTCGTCCATAAGCGTAATTTTGATTACCGACTTTCAAAAATATCCGAGTTATTAAAAAATTTTCAGATTATTTATTTACGTTTTGTCCCCTGCTCTGATGATGATATATATTTATTTACCTCTGCGTTTATCTCTTTCCTAGGAAACAATTAGCCTCCTTTCCGGTTGAGACTTTCGCCAAATAAATCAACGTAATCAGAATGCGAAGTGTCCCATTCGATTCCAGACTTCCTTTGGCCTTCTCAATGAAATATTCATACACAACTTTTAAATAAAACTGTAATAAAGTATCTTCTTTATTTCTGAGAACGTTCAAATCATATGAATGCAACCAACATAAGGAAAATATTTATCGCGTCCTTATGGACACGCATCAAGTCAGTTTCTTCTCTGTTTATTTAACAGGAGTGTACTTCACGAAGTACTGCAGAGATCTGAGTCTTCAGCTAGGAATTGGAGGCTGGGTAAAGAACACCAAGACAGGGACGATTGTGGGCAAGATGCAAGGAGAAAGGCCCAAAATTGAACAGATGTAAGTACACACTTTCTGAAAATCATACGTACAAAATACACTCTGTGCCAAAAGGCAGAGTTACTGGATGTTAAAATATTGTTGCCGCTGTGTTTTAAGTGGTTGAATTCGGAAAATTAAGTGGGTTACTAATTTGTTAACGGATACAATATTATGGTATTGTCTCATATGTTAATTTGACATAAACTGAGAAAATTTTTAATTTCAAATGAGCTAACTTTGATTCCGTTACAAATCCGATTCTACGATTGAAAATAATATAAAGATGTCCACACTGATGATTCTGAAACAATGATTCGCTTCATACAATTTCACCGAGTGTTCCCAAGTTACTGATGTCCATAAAACACGGATCAGAAAGTTTCCGCGAACAGAGTTCTCTGCATCGATTCAGAGAATCTGAACCGACTTTCCTTTTTCGTAAATTATGCACCAGATAAGCAGACCTACTGACGAAACAATTTCCAAACAGACTTGCCTTTATTTAATTCCAATACGGAGAAGGCAAGAAAAATTATACAAAGTTTTGATTTCTTATTTTCTATAAATCTATAAAAACAACAAGTTATTTGCCTTCGTGTATTCATTTACTTGAGTGTTGTTGGTCGACGCTGTCAGTACCTTACACTTTGTAACGTCAAATGGTAGGAGCGTAATGTAAGGAGGTCGTGGAGGTTTTAGTAAACATTCATATGACGTCCACATAGTGTGAAACGTTGTGGTTTGTTATTTGGAACGTAGGATAGGCGTTGATATCTGAAGGCTTTTACAGAAGTTTATGCGAAAAGCCTACCGTCACGGGGTAATAGTGTGTACGTTACAACTAGGGTGGTCTTGAAGCTGAATTAATATCGACGGAGACTGATGAACCGAGGGCGTGGAAGATTTTTCATAAATTCGTAAAATATATTTTGTGGCATCGTGTAGTTTGTAACTTGGGCGAAGGTAGGTGTGACGATGAGTGAATATAAAGGGGAAAAGATGTCAGGAGACCATGGAGGACTCTCCCGTGAGCTGGCTTGTTGAATGGGGAAAACGGAAGGCGAGTAGTCGGACGAAAGAGCAGGGAGGGCGTGGAGGCTTTTCCTGCATTCACAAGGATGACTTCGACGGGGAATGGGGTGACTCCTGGGGGTTGGCGAAAGGCGTGGGAAAATGTGCGCACAACAGCACACACTTCGGCTACAGCAACGCCATCACCACTTCATTGCAAGCCGGAAGTAATGCTGGAGTGATCAACCCAGAAGACAGCCATCTTCGTACTCACCTCAAATCTTAACTAGGTCTCATATCTTGCCTTGACCTACTATACATAAGCTTAGGGGAGTACCGACAGGGGCGGCTGTGTCTGATGGTACAGTTGTACAAACTGCGTAGAAGCATCTAAGAAAAATCAAAGTGAGGAACGCGTTTGGATGACATCATCGTTCGGTGGCTGATCCGATCTGCTTAGTAAATGGGTGAGGCAATCAGCACACTATTGAGTCGAACCTCGGTCTATTAGTGAACATGAACTCTATTGCTACACTTTGTCCCCTTTTGGAACCCACAGCACGCACAATGTGCCAAACAAACGGCCTTCTAAGGCTGTGCTCAAAGCCTGCTCTGTCATCATGACATCTGTCAATGGTCCTTCTTCCTTCTAAACAGTATTTGAAAATGGAGTATGATGAACTTCTGTCTCTATGTTCTGTCCACTAACGTTTGCAGCGATTTATTTAAATTTTTAAGAAAAATATAGGCAGGAAGGACTTCTTCGCCCTGTATAAATGAGTATACTTACGTTTCTTAGAGTTGCATTAACAAGATCACTCAAAGCAACATAACGTAACTGCAATGTGTGTCAATCCATCCATCGTCTTCCTGAAAACAGATCTCGTTATTCGTCTTGAGGAAATTCGACTCTAACCTTAATTCAGCTCAAAATAGTTTGAGGTCATTTGGCATAGAATAACAGAGGACGATCACGTTGGAGAAGTGAGAAATGCATACAAGATTTTAGTGGAAATCCTGCAGGGTTATAACGAAATGTATATTACATATGTGTATGGGATGTGATGATATGCAATGGATTAAAGTGACTTAAGATTGGATAGAATGGCGATGGGTGTCTTGTAAACGTAGAAATAGAATTTAGGAAGACGTTTCTTAAATCTATGTAAAGGCTTGGAACAGAATCAAGGGTAAGCGGAAACTGAGGAACTCTTGTTTTTAAGAAAGTGACCAATGGGAGCTGAAGGTTCCGGAAACCGCTGACTATCCAAGGGACTCAGAATTACCGTAAATTATCTAGATCAAAGTACAAACAGATGGTCCACGACATTCGCATCTACGCTCAGTTCGTTTGTGAACATTTTATCCGCCTATTACTCTGCTTTAGACAGTAATTAGACATGAAGATACAGATGGCTTGAACAGAAGAGAACTTCAGAGCAATACACGACACAGTGAACCCGAATTTTTTCATTGCAGCAGACGTTAATATCGAACTAACGAAACCAAGGAACCACTGCGTTGTGATGCTCAGAGAATTACAAATATTAATTACGACTGTTAAGATTCGTCTGCCTAAAATCATAAGTCAGGAATAAATATCGCTCACAGACTACATGTTATATAGAGTTCCAAAGATAATTTCATTATATTATACAGGGTTATTCATAATTTCCTGATACATTACAAAAAATCGCTAGACTTGAATGGTGCAATGGATGGTAACATAGGACACGCCGATAGAAAGAGAAACTCTCCAAGTTTATTTTACATACCTCATAAATGCTCTACGTGTCCTCAATTTGTGACGAGGCAGACGTCAAGCCGATAATCCATTTCCGCTCACACCTACTGCTGCATGTCACGATCGATTTGTGAGATGGCAGCGATGATTCATCTTCTGAGCTCTCGTCCGATAATCCATTTCCGCTCACACCTACTGCTGCATGTCACGATCGATTTGTGAGATGGCAGCGATGATTCGTCTTCGGAGCTCAGGTAGATCCCGTGGCAGAGGCGGTACAAAGACCTGGTCCTTCACGTACCCCCATAAAAAATCACATGACGTCAGGTCAGGTGATCGAGGTGGCCAACGAAGCAGTGCATGGTCATAGAGCATTTATGAGGTATGCAAAATAAACTTAGAGAGTTTCTTTTTCTATCGGCGTGTCGCATGTTACCATCCATTGCACCATTCAAGTCTAGCGATTTTTTGTAATGTCTCAGGGAATTATGAATAACCCTGTATAGTCACAGTGATACTGTGTGTTTGTTAATTCACTCGAATTGTAGTTAACCGCAAGCATCAATAAATATCGCCTGACGTTTCGACCACTCTGTACAATAAATATGTACACAGATAATTAAATGGGAATTAAATCTAATTAAAAATTATCTGAATCCATTAACCCCGGAGTGCGTCAAGAATGCCCATCACCGACAACTTTTGTACATCCTTGATTAAAACGTAACTCATGGAGTAATTGAGGAAATAAAATGAACATTAGTACAAGAAACAAATATTTAAACCAATTCTGACTGCAGACGACAGTACTAACGCAAAATTCAGACCGTGAATCATCGACTCATAAACGGAATAAATTAATAGCCAAATATAAGACGACAATTGTGACATAAAGTAAAAAAATTGTGGCACCCCTGTGGGCGAGAACCCATAGGACGTAAGTAATAATAAATAATATAAAAATTAACCAACGAGAGGCAAAATTATGATTATAATATGAGCCAATACTTCGAATTACTAGGACGCCCAGTATCACGTGAAAGAAATATAAAAGCTAGAAGCTCATGACCAAAAAACAGAGTGATACGCTTTAATTAACTAGAAATAAGTGAAGACATATTAGAAGAACTACAATCAGAACCTTTTCTGAACAATGTTTTGAAAAAAATGAAGTAGATTGTTCTGTTGACAAGTACAAACTCCCCAAACTACTAGAGAATTACGAAGAGCTTGAATTTAGAGAGTTCAACAATTTGCGAAACTTCTTAATCTGTAAGCGACTGATTCCCTGTCACTTGTGGCATAAGAAACTGTAACGACGTCATCTTAACTGACGACTGGAACAGGAAATGTCAAATTGCGCACATCTGAACTGAACGTTCTGCAATGTGGACACACTCTTTAATTTCGTAATGAACGAAGCGATACGACAATATCAACAATAATAGATGACGCAAGTTGAAAGGAGCCAGGCTCAAAAACAAGGACGAGTGCAGACTTGAGACCTAGAAAGTGTGTTCTATAAACAACTCATTTCCCGACGTAAAAGTTGGTCAGCTGTCAAGAAGACAATACCAAATATAAACAAAGACAACTCTCTTACAGCATTTTAATCTGGCGCCTTCCAGAACTTTCTATTGACATCTACCTAAATCAGAGATGAGCATGGAGAGATGAGAAATACACGCGAAGTTCTAGTCACAGCATCTGAAAGGAACAGACCATACGTGAGGAAAGATGGTATCAAAATTTGGAACCGGATTCGACGGAGTCAGGTTGGGGTAAGTTGGCGGGCCTTTGAACTAACTTCGTGTTTCGTACAAGACGGTAAATCTGTGTTCCAGCTGGACCAGTAATCGGATTCCACCTCGCGTTCACGATTCCATTTGCAATTTTGGTTTTCGTAAAAGTGCGAGGCAGGCATTTTCCAGAATATTGCAGAGTTCGTAAGAGGTACTTCGTGGAACTGCGTGTCAGGTCCCGTGGCCCTGGGTTTCGACCGCCCCATAACACGACCAACCCGTTGATACCACCGAGGATTCTGATCTGGGCTAACAAGCCGGTCCAAGCCTCAAAGAACTATGGAAAGACTAAAGCATGTGAAATTTACTCAATAACATGGCAGATTCATTGGCTGAAATTGAGCAATCTACGATCACGGAAGAAATTTTGTCCACAATCTGCAAAGGTCTTTCCAAGACATCGAAGAGTCTCAGAAAAGATCACAAAAGAAATGTGAAGGCAACTTAATTTAGAAATGGACGTAACAGATCGTTCTGATTAATTAGTATTGCCCAACGAAGACCTCTTAGGGCTTCAGTAGTCCATTACGCCGCTGCCCCATCAGATGATGACGTTATGGTTTCTCCGACACCAGCAAAGGTTTTTGGATTGAAAAGTCTATTTCTGCATCCCGTTGCAAAGACACACAACTTCCTTCACTGGTTTGTCTTTGATTATAAACGATTATGTAAAACAACTTTCATACATTTCCTGTTTACATGTCCTCGCGGCTTCTAACCTCTTGTCTCCCCCGAGAGTAACCTTGAAACGATAATGTATTACATTTTTCTAAGCTTATATGAATGTAGTCATTCAATATATTACAAATCAAGTATTAAGAATCGACACGTGTTCAATGGTTTCCTCTTCTATAACAAAGTTATCCTACTTTGATTGCGTCGAAGCACACGCGATCAACTTTTCCATCTACTGCAAGAAAATGTCTTTATGACTTCATTTTAACAAATAAAATAAGACTATTGACTTCGACGTACTGTTCACCCTCTTGCAGAAGAGATTAAACCTAATTTTAACCAGGTACGTACGACATTGACGAGCCAGCTGGCATTCTGACAGCACTGTTTAGTAACCACAAAACCAAGACTGAATGAATGTCTCTCGCGATGGTTCAAGCTACCACACGGCATATCAGTATCGGTGACCACACCATGAACACTGACAGAGGAGAATTTTTGGAAAATCTAACAAGACATACCCTGCATATCAATCTATCTCACAATTACATTGCGAGATCAAAGGGTTTATTTTTACAACAAATTCAAATGGTCAAATCGGACATTTTCCTTCGTTTAGAAACTACGCAGTGGTTCGGTAATTGGCTCAGCTTTCATCAATAGACAACCAACCTTTCAGGTGAGTTCCCTTGGACAAAAAGTGGCCTAGTCAAGGTACATGAACTGCCAACGTCATTTACTTGCCCGGACAACTGGTTTAATCAAGTTATGTAAACATTCTAGTCCCGGGAATGAGATTAACTTGTACGAACGGGGCTCAACTAATCTGGTTGTTCACCTGTTGACAATTGTACGCTTTTTACATACGATGAAGGAAACTGTCCAACAGTATACCTCAGTTTAATGACACACCTTTGGGCTGAAAATACTGGCATTTCATTATTATCACGGATTAGGCCCATGCACCTCCAAAAGTAATTCAAAACAACTAGTTTTAAAAATGTTCAATATCTAAGAATGAGTGTGTCCCCGTCACATCACATCCATGGACTTTTCTGTACCTCTATACCTTGTGGTGTGATATACAGAGTATTTTTGCGATGTTTAAATTTCCCATAATTCCTGAATGTTCATCCACCTTATTTGATATTCCCTTTTAAAACTAGCTGTTTTCAACATTTCCTTTTATCTACAGTGTACTTACAAAGTACAGTACGCAGTTCCGCATCTCTTCTGTTGATGTGCTATGGTTCGTCTTCCTGTGAATGCCTAGCATCCGACGCACGTAGCAGAGCTGGTACTGCCATCAATTTTACACAAGAAAAGCAGTTTCCTTACGAGTTTTCCCAATTTCACGTGTATTATGGAACCCACGTAATTTCTTATTAACAAATTCTATCCTGCAGACTTCACAAAATTCATGATTCTTCAGTCCTAAAGTGGTTACTGTGGTCCATGCAAGATGTACACATGAAGAACTACACAGGTTTTGACGAGAATGATGACATTTTGTCAATGGAGGTTATTTCATAATCAGCAATACCAACATGCCAGATGCACAAACCTGTCAGGTGGCGGTGACACTATTGCTAGTTAAATTACGGTCATACAAAGACGCACCGTAAGAAATCTTATACAAATGCACAACTTCACCACCGTAATTATTTGTGCGATATAAAAGAACGACAGAGAGGGTTAATGAAATAAAACTTCCTGACTCAACCAGGATTCAAATCCATGAGCACCTGCACACAAGCCAAATATGTTACCACGTAAGTCACTGCCTTGTAATGGATTTGAATAACACAAGACATAATTAGTAAGTTAGGAATTAATGATGTTCAAATAACATACGAGGCATTTTCTTTTAAAATTATCAAATTAAGAGATTTGAACACACACTGGAGGCTATGCATTGCATTTATTGGTTATTTTGCAACATGTATAGGGACAGTTCAGCCCCTCTGAAACTGTACTGTACTCTCAGACATCAGTTTCAAATAAATTTGTAGAGAATAAAGAAAACAATGTTTAAAGTGTATACTATGTTTGAGCATTTTTGTAAAAATAACAATAGTATTGAACTGTTTTACTTCAGTCTCTTCTGTGAATACGATAAATATGAAGATGACTGTCTTCTAGAACACTGCACCATGCACTCTGGTATAAGTTTACCAATGCTTACTGAATCTATCATCAGGGCAATGAAGCATCAGTAAACTTCTACCAGACTACACGGCGCAACAACCCAGAAGACAGCCATCTTCAGACTCACCATGAAAACCTCAAATCCTACATGGTTAGCAATGTTTCAGAGGACTGTCACCTCCTTCTTCAGGGTAGGACCACCTACAAGACTCTCTCATCATTATGTAGCGGCTAACGAGTAAACCCGCTTCTTGACCCATTGTGGCGTCAATCTGAATATCCACTGCTCTTAAGACCTAACCTCACATTTAAGAAAATGCCATAAATTTGTTTCTGTATGTTGTACAGGGTGGACTGGTTGTCCAAAACTGGGAGTCCAGGGAGCAAGATAGATCGCTGCGACTTTGGAAACTGGGAGTACCTCGCGAGACAAGAGTTCCGTGGTTTCAGCATTCGATTCTGAGTAAATTACCAAATAAGTGTTTTTGTCCCATCACCTTCATTGTTAAAATAAGAGGCGAAATGAGTTCAACGTGTCACGAATTATCGTGATGTATCATAGTTCTTTGAAGAATCCGTTCTAGATATCAGCCAAGCAACGTCTTTGTGAATGCATGGGACCTGTGGAATAGAACCTAATGATACCTCAAAGATGTGCCGACAGCTATCAAAACAACACGAGAGGAAATCAAAGTTTGTTTCATCCACTGAGTGTACAATGTGAAGCATGAGATTCAGTTTTCAAAACCTACGCAAGTATACTAATAAATGTTAGTTTCCATACAACTTGTAAAATAGTTTGTGTCCCTTCCCCTCTCTGCTAGCAAAGCAAAATCTTCCTCTGAGTGGCCAAGGCAAAAGGCCTTTTGAGACTTCAGAAGCTAATCTGTCCCATGCACTGAAGGAATGATGGCGTCTTGCATCTTGTCAGTCTTATGAATTCATAGAACATACAAAATTTCATTCTAGTAGTTTAACCTCCATTTAACTGCTAAAATATTTTATAGTCCACCACAGGACAGTTTTCAAGTGCCTCAGATGCATCCTGTTCAGTCGATAAAAATTAAGTGTATTCGGTTAAATGCTATTACAATTCAGCAAATTTTATGAAAACAAACACTGGCAGGTTTAAGGCTTTAATCAGGACAAGATAAATATCCAGCCATACAGACTTTTAATAAATATGCGTGAGTGAATTTTGGCACACACGACCTGATCTCGCATCACGCGCAATGTACGATACTCGTAAAGCCTACAGCCGAGGCAAATAAGATGTTTGGCTGCTAGCACCGTCGCAAAACTGTCACAATATGAGTACAAAGGAGAATGAAGAGATGGGTTTTAATTCCTGCTTCATATTCCAGCGGCCTTGGGTTAGAAACCGGATGTGGAGGGAGAATAGTCTTTGTTGCGTTCCTTAATTGTTCTCAGCAAACACAAAACAGGCCACGATCACTTTCTTCCACACCCTTTCCAATACAACACTCACAAACTCTGTTCAACACAATGAAAATCCAGCCAAGAGGAAGAGTACGGGTGACAGGCCGTAGGAAACACAATGAAAATCCAGCCAAGAGGAAGGGTACGGGCGACAGGCCGTAGGAGGTCACGATACTTTCGAATATCTCGGTAACATCCAACCAACATTTTACCACACTTACACAAAATTTGTTCATAAATGAGATACAGTAAACTCCTGAGTATCCAGATGCACAAATAATAAAGAAAACATATGAATATTTCATCTGGAGTATGTCAAGAATTTCGGATACGCCGCTTTATTAGGAAGACCTTGCACATCTGGAAGACGTTTCCTCCGTGATCATGCCGGTGACAATTTGGGAATACCGCTGCAGAAGTCAAGCAAGAGGTGAAGGATTTTGACAAAGGCTGTTCAAACACAATTTGCCATCTACTTAACAGGGAAACAGACACTTGCTGCACTGTTCATTACAGCAGAAATACATTTCAACCAGAAGATACTGAAAGAGGGTTCGTCTTCATTGCATGTTATAATAGAAATATGAGAGACAACACTTCACAAGCCAATTTTATCTCCACAGCCCCCTGCATCGGTTAACAGCGACTACAAAGGGGCAAACTAACCAGAATGTTACTTCAAGTACAATTTGTAGGACATTAATCCATCCCACAAGATAATTTTACTATTGTGATATATCATTTCGTGTTTAGCCGTCTTCCGGTCTTCTTTACTCGAACCTTGTTATAAGTGTAGGAACCTCGTATGAATGGTGTGACCACACTTGAATTCCGTCACAGCTAAAGTTCTAAACACCAATTCAAGCACATGGCGCGAATTAGTTTATATTCCGAAATATACTGGGTAGGGGAAGCCAAAATACACAACAAATTATAAGTCTATATGCCACACTTTCATTACAAAAAATAACACAACATTCCCAGATTAAGTATCTATGAACTTGGAACATTTCCTTTTGTTAAAATGCATTCAGGAGATTCTTTTGCTAGAATTTTCTTTAAATTCTAAAAATGTAAAACATCCACACCTAACAATTCAAGTACACAAATGACTATTGTATTTTGTGAAAAAGTTTTTGTTGCAACGTAGTATCTCAACAGACTATCAAAATATGAGCAGTTTAAAGGGTGAACGCAAAATAGACAACCCCTATGACAAATGAGTTTTGATAAAAATTTACAAGTCATAAAGCTATTACAAAAACCCCAACCCTGTCTTATACCATATGCATGCCTCATTACTACGCTTGAATTGGCAGAATACCCCTGCCCTGATCTGTGTATTTTGTCTGCGTAACTACCCCCTTGTACTTACTGAATCAACCACCCAATACATTTTTTTTACTTACTTTCCAGTCTGCGATGTGTATGTGTTTGGCTAAATGTCTTTTTTAACAGACTTTCTGCCCATTAAATTCTTTCATCTAGTAATGCCTGTTTCCCTACGTGAAACTGAACTACACACGCAAAGCACAGCAAACCGTTGTAACAGAACAACGTATTTGGTCATTACTTGCAAGCGTAGCTGAAAAACAAATAATTCCCTGAGAGCCTTTCACAGTAAGGAATTTTCCTTTTACGGTGCAACGCGCGCACATCACAACTCTGTCCATCCACATCGCACGAAACAGCTCCAGGACTCACAGCGCACGAGTTCACCCGATTACTGTCGACCAAATCAATTCCACTTTTTACAGATTGACAGGAGGCAGAGCAAATGAAGAAAATTACAATCAGAAGTAAAATACATTTAACGCCATCCATCTCAGGTTTGTGTGTGTGTGGGGGGGGGGCACGGGAACAAAAGAAAATTGTCTGCTGCATAATAAAATCAGCAAAATTCCTTCATGTCATATTCTGCACTCTCTTCTTCAGTCGTCAAGAACACCCGTGCAAGCAACATTTGAGAGCCTGGCAATGTCGTTTAACGTAAACCCCGAGGATGACACATACTGAACCTTCGCAAGATAATCGTTCAAACCAGAAATAATACACAAGACATCTTGTATGAAACAACTAAGAATGTCAAAGAGGTTTTGAAGCTGAAAAAACCATAATAATACCTTAAAGAGTGGTGTCAGGAGCTGCCAGTCACATAAATAGCAATAAATGGGCAGTTTTCCGCATGACACAGAACGTTAAGCAACAACTGTTATGGCAGCCCCTGTAACAAACCAGCACAAGAAAAGTATGAGCATTTTATATTCCCAATATACGTTTACACAGAATGGGCATACTTCAACTTCATACATAAATATATTCTTTCCACATTAGTGTCATCTTGACAACATAATTTAAGCACACAACTAGCAAGCAAAGAGTACGACCGGCTGTGCACGTGCGAATCTGCACTAAACTCAATTCATTCTCAGGTAACTGCTGGTACTGTATTTACACACGTCATCAATTTGTGCTCAAACACTAATTACTTTCCATTCTACATAATTCCTGGAAAGATAATGCACATCTCACAAGCACTTATAACAATTAACAATGCATGAAACAATACCAGAAGATATACTTAAGGTGGAAATTACAGAAGCCTTAATTTCTGAGCAAGAAAAACAGATCCAGTTTCCAAAAATGTTGTTTGGAAAGAACAAAGGTGATGGATAATGTCAATAATAATAGTCACGTTCTAAGAGCTCAAAATAAACTAATGGAAAAACTGTTAAAGAAATCATTGGAAAAGGTTTCATTTTTAGCGAATAATATTAAGAGCATTTAAAATTGATTTAAGTTTAAATTCAACAAATGAAGAGCTACAGTGCCATTAAAGTAATTCTTTGGTAAACTAGTCTACTCAGTGGAACATAATTAGTACCGTCTTCTGCTAGAAGGGCAACATGCTTATAAAAAAAAAGAACATATTTTGTAGACTTTGGACTGTGGCCTATAAAACTGCATATCAAAACATTACACCTCGTAATGAGATACTTACAGTCCACCACATTTTTATTTTAGTATAACCAAGGAATGTAATGTCATCTCTTAAAAAAAGAACTGAAAATAAAACATCCACTGGAAATTCTGACTTCAGTGTGTAAACATGCAAAAATTCAAATATTTTCAACGTTCTAGTACACTCAGTGTGCTAAATGTGCCACCAATAGCCTCCTATTAGTGTATTTTGACTTTCCAGATTTTAAATAATGCAATTTTTAAATAATGTTTCTTCCATATAAAGTGATTGTATATTAAGTAAGTCTAACACAATAACAACAAAGCCCATATTATGCCAAAATCACGGATGCAACGCTAGTCCAATAAACTGTTTTATGCAAAAGATGTCATGCCCCAATCAAAGTTCTCAGCAACATCTATCAAAAAGTGAATACAGAATTCTTATAAAAGCAAAAGCATCCGTACTTCAACGCAAAAGAACAACCGAGGTTTATTCACGCCGTATAGTTCTCCACACTGACAAATAGTCCAGATTTTTACACCTCTGATGTTACTTTAGACTATTATGAAAGTATTCTGCATCCAATAGTTTTCATGACACTTTGCCCCCTCAAAGAACCAAGCTTCCTAATCTATTAAGTCTTATTTGTAAAATATTTTATTAACTTCTCACAAAGAGCAACCTACATTATACATGCAAGTTCTCGAAAGCCACCAACTCTTCTCTTCTTAGAACAGAAGCTGAAGAGTTTTCTATGCCCACAACACGAATTATTTATTAACTGCCGTGTGGTTATCTAATGGCATCAAGAATTACAACATTCTTTCACTTCCAATTTGAACTATTACAAAAACTCCTTTCACATTACCAATTCAGTTATTCCAAAGATTAAATTAATTTTTATTAGAGACTTAAAAAAAACTTTCACACTCGACAAATCAATGACACCAGGCATACAGGTCAATCAACAAAAAAGTGTCACAACACCTGTAGGGGTAAGTTCTGCAACCAGCTACATAGTTGAAATATGTAATAAAAACAACTCCCATCTGTACCGCATAACAACAACAAAAACACGAAACCAATTATTCAATCATACACGCCAGAATGTTTAACCTGCTAATGGTACGTGATCTGTGTAAACTGGACAAAAACAATAAAACAAGCTTCCGAGATGAAATGAAAACCTCACACACTTACAAATAAATTCTTTGCAGCCAATTACAGACGCATAAAACACACACATAGACATGCACACACACACACAGTACAGGAAACTAAGTGGCAGAATTGATATTTTACACCGATTGTAATTAAAAATTGCTCGAGGACAAGCAAGTATGGACTTCAGTAGAATTAAAATAACTGCATGAGTTCAGGATACAAAAACCACTGAATATTTAAGTGAACCCTGCTTCTAACGCATCTTCACGTGCGGGTTTCTGTTACCGAGAAGAGAACCAAACTTGTTCTCACATTCCTTCTTCCAGAAACACTGCATTTTACATGTACGGAGAATAATCTCGACTGTTTTGCAACAGAGATATCACCACCTGTAATTGATAAGTTATAGGGGTGGAAGAAAGCCACCAAAACAGATTACACGATTTCCTTTTCAAAAAATATTTTTAAATTGCAGAAATGCAATGCACTCACACCCCAAAGAGGGAAACTGAGCTAAAGTGATTCAGACTTTCTATGGTTAAATTAAATTTATCTGAGAAAATGGGTGGCTGGTTTAGTGGGGAAGCGAGGGATGGGACAGGCTTAGGATTCATCAAACACACGTCCAATAATAATAATAATAATAATAATAATAATTACTAATATAATTACACAGTTCAGAAAACATCATATTACAGCACACACAACCATTCTCACAGTCGCAATTCAGCCTCCTGACAGGCCGCCCTGCTTGCTGCTGTGTGTACTCACCTCCACTTTCTAACCACACATTCCTCGACTACTCCATCCACCTTTTTTTGCTTTCATACACATGCACACAACAGCGGCTCGTACAAACCGCATCACACCAACGGAACGCTGCTCCTCACAGAGGGCACTAGACAGCAAGAACACGAGACAATAACATGACAGAAAAAAGAGTTTTCTTCCTTTCCATATACCACTCGTTCGGCTTTTGCTCGGCACCTCCACACATTGTCATAAAAAATTAGGTTTTCAGGTACCTTATGGTTGGATGCTTGATTGGATTTTAACTAAATTCAACACAAGAGGAATTCAGTAATTACATACACAAAATGAAAAGCCCTACTGTTCAATACGTTATGTCGAACTACCACCGTTTGAAACGTGCCCAATATGGGAGTAAACAATGAATGAGCAAGATCACACCATGCCTGCCATAAACAGAAAATTATTTTTAATGAAAATGAATTAAGCATTCCTTACATAAACTACTAGAAGCTGCATTTGGAACTGAATTTTTATTCGTGTAGCGTAGGAGTAATTCTAGCCCATCCCTCAGTCCCTCCCACTGAAAATTCAAAACTGATGTAGCATAATTTATAGCAGTTTAATGTTACACTTGAAACAAGCAATACTTCAACTACCAGCATTGTCTTGGATGAATTTTCGGTGCGACCTTCAAAACGGTCCTGTGACTGTGAGTACCGAGACATAGATTGAACAGCTGCAGTTCACTCTTCAGTAGGCTCTAGTATACAAATCATATATCACACAAACTTAAAAAAAGTTCTGCATTCTGGCCTGTTCTTTACAAAAACCCCAGTTAAATATCAATACCAACTACACAGCATACATATCCGAATTCTTCAGTCCTGTCCAATCGTTGATTACAAGCAGATCACCATAGTAATCTGGAAGAGTTTTGTGTAAAAATAATAATAATAATAATAATAATAATTACTAATATAATTACACAGTTCAGAAAACATCATATTACAGCACACACAACCATTCTCACAGTCGCAATTCAGCCTCCTGACAGGCCGCCCTGCTTGCTGCTGTGTGTACTCACCTCCACTTTCTAACCACACATTCCTCGACTACTCCATCCACCTTTTTTTGCTTTCATACACATGCACACAACAGCGGCTCGTACAAACCGCATCACACCAACGGAACGCTGCTCCTCACAGAGGGCACTAGACAGCAAGAACACGAGACAATAACATGACAGAAAAAAGAGTTTTCTTCCTTTCCATATACCACTCGTTCGGCTTTTGCTCGGCACCTCCACACATTGTCATAAAAAATTAGGTTTTCAGGTACCTTATGGTTGGATGCTTGATTGGATTTTAACTAAATTCAACACAAGAGGAATTCAGTAATTACATACACAAAATGAAAAGCCCTACTGTTCAATACGTTATGTCGAACTACCACCGTTTGAAACGTGCCCAATATGGGAGTAAACAATGAATGAGCAAGATCACACCATGCCTGCCATAAACAGAAAATTATTTTTAATGAAAATGAATTAAGCATTCCTTACATAAACTACTAGAAGCTGCATTTGGAACTGAATTTTTATTCGTGTAGCGTAGGAGTAATTCTAGCCCATCCCTCAGTCCCTCCCACTGAAAATTCAAAACTGATGTAGCATAATTTATAGCAGTTTAATGTTACACTTGAAACAAGCAATACTTCAACTACCAGCATTGTCTTGGATGAATTTTCGGTGCGACCTTCAAAACGGTCCTGTGACTGTGAGTACCGAGACATAGATTGAACAGCTGCAGTTCACTCTTCAGTAGGCTCTAGTATACAAATCATATATCACACAAACTTAAAAAAAGTTCTGCATTCTGGCCTGTTCTTTACAAAAACCCCAGTTAAATATCAATACCAACTACACAGCATACATATCCGAATTCTTCAGTCCTGTCCAATCGTTGATTACAAGCAGATCACCATAGTAATCTGGAAGAGTTTTGTGTAAACCCAGGTAGCTAAGTGACTGATTTTACCACTGGAATGGCTGCTAACCGGCAAGCCAATTCCTGATTCAATCCTGCATTTCCTCAGGCATTTCATGAGGATTTATGATACCAGGAACAGACATCTGGATGCGACGTTTCTCCTCTTGCGCCTGTCTTAATGCTGCCTCACGCTCGTCCAAGAACAGATCGGTGTCGTCTTCACCCGTATATTCCTAGGTAGGAGAAGGTAATCAATATTACGTGTATTCAATCAAAGAATACCATTCATGTTCTAAAATTCTCTCAGGCAATTGGCCCTGTCATGTTAAGACGGCTATCACCCAAGAAAATGTCACGATCGTGTGACATGAAAGTGTTAAGCCTTACATAATCCCACTTACGCTCATTGAGTATATCTACATTCTCTACTATGGTAAACGTCTCTTCCAATTTAGACAATTATAAAACTGATATTCACAAAATATGAATGAGTAAAGAGGAGAGAGAGAAAACAGATACCTCTTTCATTTCATAACCATGAATTTTCTCAACGAATGCAATGGCTGGCTCAGCACGATACATAAAATCGATGGGAATAATATCTTATTTCATATATACCACATTTGTTTTAACAACAGCTAGGAGCATTTAGAATGCACATGAAAACTGCGTAGTCTGGTACGCAATTTACGCCGACAGAACAGAATTTACACTAGTCACAATGAAAAATTAACTTTACTAAGAGCAGGGTCCTTAAAAAACTAATAGTTCCCAGACAACTAAGAAATTCCTTGCTGTTAAGGAAACAAAAACAGTCATTAGTATACTTCCAAATGCCTGCCAAAGGCCACTGGGAATTCTTCAGCTACAGAATAAACAGATTTAATAAGGTCTATCCTTTAAGAATTCAGTTAGTTGGCAATCAGTAGAAGTTTTAAGAACACTTACGCCCCATTTTGAGATTATCTTACCACCCGTGCCTAGGGGTCCGTCATGGCATCATATCTCTAACAAACCATACCCAATAAAATGTTGATCTGATTCTCATTCACTTATATATAAGAATGTAAAATTTATCATCCACTGGTTCCGTGTCATACTTGGCCCTTCATGGCCGTCCAACCAACACTCTGCCAATTCCTTTGCTACTTATTTCAATGAACCTGCCATAAAAATTCTTCTGGTGATTGAAGTTCAATCCCACATCCGCTGCTGGATAATTCATTAAAGTCCGAGGCCATGTCACATTTCATAACATGCCAGTTATAACGGAGAGGGTTGTTAACCCCACATCCAACCCTCGAGCTGGAGAGCCACCTCTCAACACTTCTATGTACTAACAGCTGCCCTCCATACCTGGAGCATCTGATCCAACCAAAACCTCGGGGTATGACACACCAAAACAGCAAGGAATCCACCGAACATGACATGAAATAATTTACTGTATCATACATAGAAAGAAGCCTTACCCTAATCTGAACCAGGAAGTCACGCAAGTGTTCCTTGAAAGCAGGGATGTCTTGATCAAGGTTGAAGAGTCCCTGGACTGTAATCTTGATCTGGTTGTCACTTAGATGTGGGAATGCTGCCCGTAGAAGACTCGCAACAAACTCTTGAACGTAGAGTGTGTTATCATGGGACGGCCCCAAAGGGACAGAGATCCGACTCAACTCCACTAGACTAAACATGTACGCCAGGATTGTGGCATGCATTGTCAACCCTAATAAAATCAAATGTGAACCAACCTGTATTATGAAAAAGGCTTAAACCTATTAATTCTGTGCAAGCATAACTAAATTCTTCCTGTAAATAAAATGATTCCCTTTTAAAGGTCAGGAAATATTTGATTTGATTTAATTTACACTGTGTAGTGCGCTATCAAATTAACTCAACAGCAGAAATATACAAATATACTTGGAGAAAGCTGAGGGTGTGAAACTCAATACACTTAAGTTATACAAGATTGCTACATTGAATTAAACATAAAACAATCATTATGCATTGATTGATACAACGGTGGTCGAAATAAAGACATTAATTCAGTTACGAGTACTGTACATGTTATGTGTGAAGATCAAGGTATGGCACATAACTCATGAAATGTATGTGGAGTGGAGGTAAGCTGTACACATCCACCTCAACGCTATGAGAAGTGAGCACCCAGCGCACATCACATAGGACCAGACATGGTGACAAAAGGAGAACATCCGCCAGTGCTTGGAATTGAACACCAATTGCCTAGCTTATCAAGAAGTCACTTTGAGACAGCTAATGAAGTTCATGTAATTTACAACATTTAAACTGAATAAGGGTACGTGACAAATTAACATAAACACCCTTTTCAGAGCATGGACTCAATTTGCAAAGTAAAGAATTGTCTTTGGGTGGGAGGGATCTTGACCGAGCTCATATTCAGTGACAGCCTGTGTCCGAGTTCTGAAATACAAGTTAAACTCACCAGCAGTGTGGGACGTATCAGTGACAACAGAGAATATATGCTGCAGAATATCTGTGAAGTAAGTCTGGTAGAAACTCTGGGCGGCTTGGTCATGTTGTTCAACATTCTGCAGAAGCTGATACAGGATCTGTAGAGGCAGTCATGTAAAGAAAGCAATGAAGAAACAATTTAACATTCTGAAACCACTAACTGGTTTTCAACCCTGAATGCAGCTTACAGGCACTTAAAGAAGCAGCTACCCTACGGACAGGTCTGCCCAATATTTCCTAACTAACTGGCATTTGCTTCCAAATTAAAATCAGTCTACAGTTAATGCGCGATGTTTCAATAAATGTGTGGTGAGAATACGGCTCATTAGCTGACAAAAGATACAGAAAAAGACAGTATAAATGATTATAACATTAAAGGGTAGTATAAAATGTTAAGAACACCACATAGGCTCTCTCTCCTCCTGCCCCCACCCCACCCTGGGAGAGCCAAGATACTTGAACAAGTAACATTTCTTCATATTGACAAAAACTCAATAAACAAAGCTTAACTATGCTTGATTTATTTAAGAAATTATGCAGAAATCGCACATGCAAGAAGTACTTTTGTGAGTGTGTCCTAAAGAAAAGACTGTCAAGGATGAGATACGCATTGCACTCCTTGACGTGTCAAGAGCGAACTTCTCCGAAACACTTAATTTTATACTTTATTAAACAGTACAAACATTTCTTGCAATTACCACATCCTGGCCTTTGTTTTCCATGTTTTTAGACATAAAAATGCAAGAATAAATTGGATTTCCAGGTGTAAACAGATGAAAATTATCCGAACGTACAGAACGCCTTACCAGTTTGTTACATCATAACAAAAGACAGCAAAGCTCTGTTTACCTGTAATCCTGTGTCTGCCACGTTCCTCATCGTATGTTTAAAGGCCCAGATAATGGAATCCAACACCAACTTGAACTGAGCTGGTGGAATACTTAGGAATGCTGGAAAGCAATGGTTATTCACAGCCTGAAAACAACAGAAACATTCATATCTTGTTAATGTGATGTCTCACAGTAACGTGCACTTATATGAGTGAAGACACCTCAATCATCGGTGAATTAGGTGCAAAATGGTTTTTATTTAGGTTTCCTTTGTATAATATATTGCTTCTACAGGCAACAAATTGGTAAAATATAAGCCTGCATTAGACATGGATAAATAAAGTTTTAATAGACGTCCATACTTCTCATAGTCTTTCAGATGTATCAACTAATTTGTAATTTACAAAAATTCCCCTTTCAAGATCATTAATTTTGTTGGAAAGATGTTGAAGTGCTCAAAGTAACATTTGTTACATTCTACAACTCACAGACAAAAAAAATTATTATTTCCTCCACCTGTGACAAATGAAACGTAAAAGTCTGATAATCCTTAAATTTTAACCTTGATTCAAAACTTGCATACCACGGACTAAACAAGTCAATTTTACCGTATTCTCTACTTACCTGCAACAGCAGAAAAAAATTTGTTCTATGTTCAGGATATTCTTCAAAATCCTTATTTATCATCTCCAACGTACACTCAAAGACAGCATCAAAGATTTTGGGAACTTCACTCGTGATGTGACCTCCCAATTTATTGACAATGGTCCCCATTGCACTCAAAACTTCTGGTTCTCGAGCAGAAGGCACACTAGTCCGCTGGTAGTCTATCAACACCGCGTCCAGCAATGGAGGGATGAAGTTTTCCAAAACCTATAACAGCAAAATAAAGAATTGACTAGTCAAACTGCCATTAAACGTACGCACATGCTACACGCAGAGCACATATAAAACGTACATTATCTTAACGATCGTGTTTCAGCGCGCAGGAATATGTTAGTCTGTTGAAAGCATACTATGATATTTTTACCTGGAGAATGAATTGTCACAAGTATAATGTTTATTTAATCAGGAACAAAACAACACATGTAAGCTAATTACAAACTAAGGGGTAAAACCACCAACCACCCCAAATACTGCAAAGTCACTGTTACAGTGAAGATGGAAGGAGAGTGTCAATTTAATTTCTCAACGTTCTCATGCGCTACAATCAAATTAAACAGCAAACACTTTCATAGATTTGCCACAAAAAATAATAAAAAATCCCCGCTCACGCTAGATGCCACTGAAAAATATCCTGAGAGAATTTTGCAATATTCACCAGCATTGAGAATATATATTATGAGCCGGCGTAGCTCAGTCATGTGCCTGGCTACGGACTGGACCGGGATTTGATCCCCGACAGGCGAAGAGGATTTTTCCTCTAGCCTCTGCGTCCAGACAGGTTCTGGGACACACCCAGCCTCCTACCCAATGGGTATCGGGGTTAAAGCGTGGCCAGTGTGTGATGCTGACCACTCACCTCCATCTAGTGCCACGGTCAAGAATCAGTAGGATCTACATCGCCTCTCCAGAAAAATATCCTGAGAGAATTTTGCAATATTCACCAGCATTGAGAATATATATTATGAGCCGGCGTAGCTCAGTCATGTGACTGGCTACGGACTGGACCGGGATTTGATCCCCGACAGGCGAAGAGGATTTTTCCTCTAGCCTCTGCGTCCAGACAGGTTCTGGGACACACCCAGCCTCCTACCCAATGGGTATCGGGGTTAAAGCGTGGCCAGTGTGTGATGCTGACCACTCACCTCCATCTAGTGCCACGGTCAAGAATCAGTAGGATCTACATCGCCTCTCCACCCCAAGCTCCTACATGGTGTATAGTGGGACAGCTTTACTTTACTCTACTATTCAGAATAGATTAAGCTTGTTTCAACTTACCATAGCATGGTCATTTGACCTGCTGACCCAGTCAGATATGAGCTTCAGTGTTTCCTTCTTCACAACACGCATACTCTTGATCAGAGGCTGTTTGGTCACCCCCTCACCATTCACTGCAATTGCTGCAATTATGTTCTCACTCATAACTTTGTACACATTCAACATGTCCAGATAGATCCGACCCAGCTAGAAAAGAAATGTACAATTATGATATTTCTCCATCTCATAATGCATTAAACAAAGCACAGTGATACACAAAAATGTTTTATACATGCCTCCTTCGCAGTACGCAGTCTGTCTTCTGATAATAAATCCAACCTGCGTGAACATCCCACCCTTGGGGCTTTTAAGGACTTGCTTCAGAAAAATATTACGGTTATGCAAAAAGGTTGACGGTAGTCAGTTACACAGACTGCAGCATATAACTGCGCTGTCACTAAAATACTTACAAATTAAGTGAATGATCCAAACAAAATTAAAAGAAAAAAGTATAATTTATAAAATGTTGATGACGTGAAAACTTTCAGATTGTGTGGTTGTTAGTTTACGGTTATATTTAAAAAAATTGTGGAAAGAACCATGAAAAGTTACATTAAGAAAAACCCAGTAATCATCCAACTGACGTTATTTTGCTGGGAACTCCAAAATTCAAATAACAATAGCATTCACAAGCATCTTCTAACTAGTAAATAATGCAATATCAAACTTATAAATAAGGGCAACATTACACCAAATCCGTCCTTTTCTCAAGTACACGCCAAAAGAAAAGTACAGTATTTACACCGGCAAAACAAAATTTCCCTTTGTTGGTTATTATGATTATTAAATTAAGGTCTCATATTAAATAAACACATAACAAATGAGGCCACTAGTTTCAGCTTGCTGTTAAGAATAAAGAAAATGATAACCTAAGCACGATTTGAGGTTTTCATGACAGTGAGTCTGGGTTGGTGCGCCGTGCAGTCTGGTAGAAGTCTGCCAACATTTCAGAGGTTCATGCTGTCTCCCTGAAGATGGAGGCAGCAAGGACCTCTAGAATATCAATAAACTCCTACCAGACAATGTGGAGCAACAACCCAGAAGACAGGCATCTTCAGAATGATAACCTGTTTTCTTCCAAACAAAATTGAAATTTATAAATTTCAAATTTGATTTAATTAAGCATATGTTTTATTTTAAGAGTTCATTTATACACTCATGATGTGAGTATTAATTAGCTGCTCAGTCCATCTATCCATCCACAAACTGGTTACTGCAAAATCTACTTACCTGCAAAACATAGGGATGTCCGAGAGCTTTACAGGCACGTACATTTGTCTTCAGTATACTTGCAAGTTGTTTGACGGCATCTTGGTCTTTCAGCACATCCACATTCTGTAACAAAACACGACGAATATGGTCTGCCTATCAGTCTTTAATACTGACATGTCATAAAAGGAAGACCAGAAAATGAACCTTCCATACTGACTGAAGCTTTCTTTATTTAACCTTCGTCATATTATTAAAAATTGAAGATGAATGTCTTTTGTGATGTTATACCATGTAGTCTGGTAGAAACTGAACTGCACATGAACATGCGAGTTTCTCTCTCCTGTTGCAGTCTCGTTCATACACTTCAATCAAAACATCACAAACCCGTGTCATACCTAAATATCTCACCCCATTTCAAGGTTCTCAGAGGACCGTAGAGCCACAGAGGAAGGAAGGAAGGAATGTCAATTTGAGTGTCTTTCAGGGGAGATCCTATTCCTGTTTGACTCTTTGTGTCATATAATGCCGACAGTAAATCTGCCTGGATAGACAGTAAGCCAATCATGATTAAATCACAGAGTTACTGCTACTTACATAATGCAGGTGATATGCTATATTTTCCTTTCCTTATATCCAAAGACTAGACTAAAATATTTAGCAGTCTGAAGAACCATCCACACACAATAAAGCACTCAAAACTCGTGTCATGTAAACAAATATTACGCGTTCAGTACTCTGGAAATGAATTAAGCACGAAGAAATTTTTTTTTTTACTTTCATTAAGATTATGAAATGTCAGTGACCACCTACAAGATTAAATGGCGTCACAGCGTTTGACTTACAAAAGTTGGGAACACGTCCCATCCCTGCACAACTGGGTTAAATGAAACTGGTGGCAAGTGCCTTACTAAGTAGCCACCAAATATGAATTTCTGGAGCACTGGTCGCGCTTCTACATCATATTAACCAAGCAACGGAAAACAAATTGTGCAAGATCCAAATAGTATCCTCACCTTTGATGCTTGACTGATGATATCATCCCACACCTGGTTGGGAAGCATCATGTATTTTTCAATGAGATGCTCTTGCATTACCTGATCCACCTGTGCACTGATCATGTACCCAACAGCCTCGTAAAATGTATGAACCTAGAACAAACACGAAGTTCGGAACTCAAGTACACGCGTCACGTCCCAACACTTTACTTGGTCTATATTTTCAAAGTATAATCATACTAACACACATTAGCTAAAATATATATGGGTCTATATTTTCAAAGTATAATCATACAAACACACATTACCTAAAATATATATACATCAATTAGACACGAACAAATCTCAAAGTTCAAGATCAAATTTGAGAAAAAACATTTTTAATTCAAAACATGGTTTTCAGTCTTAAACTTTGATTATTTTCAGATAACTAGCTATAACTAATCATGTCCTATTATCATCTTCTTTAAGAAATGTGAATCAATACCAACATGTCATAACATGGTAACATAGTGGACTTGTGCGCATGGGGTCATGGCATCGAATCCTGGTTAGATCAAAATTTTCTTTTTCTTTCATTAAGAGCCATATTGTTATTGCACATTACACAAAGAAATTCTAAACAAAAATTTCAAATCATAATTACCTTCACTTCAGAGGACAAAATATTTTCATTTTCTGGTTTCAGCTTCCAGAAAATTAATGGTACATAATTACCTGTTGTGTCTGCAGATCACAGATGATCGTACTGATGGTTGTTAGAATTTCCTCAATAAATGGCATCACCTCTCCGACCTGAACCGTCACAAAGTGTCTCCGACACTTGAGCGCTATCTTGATAAATGTATCGCATGCCATGTCCTGCACGCCATCATGAGTTTCTAAAATGAAGACATGCCAATACACATTAATACAATGCACGATGTCCTCAAAACAAAATGGTATTTACAGAAACATTCTATACAGCACATCAATATTATGAACTACGTAAAATGAGAAGACAAATATATTACAGAGGAGACCTTTCAACGACTTACAATTCTGCTGTCACATATTTACAATATACTTTTTGTTATTATTTCATGCCTGGTTCAAATCATAACAATTCTACGACTAGATAAACAGAGAACAAAATTATCTCACTTCAAAGGAAGGCAACAAGGGGGGAGGGAAGGGAGGTGGAAAAAAGAGAGAGATATACCATCATTCATAGCGAGAGACCTGCTACCATTCCACACACTGTAACACAAATAAAACACATGATATTCCATGTGACACATTGAAAAATATCTATAAATACTGTAACCTACACGGTCCTGATACTTTCACTCACCATGCATAAATTCAAACAACTTGTTAACTACAGTCTTGAGGAACTTCCAGTGTGCCCGCAGGAACCTTGGGTACTGCCCCACAACATACATGATGTTGGATGCAATAATGGCCTTGTTGTCTTTCCCTTTCTTTTGTTCGCAGAGCCCTAGCAAATCTTTGATAACAGTCACCAGAAACCTCTTCTCGTCTTCTTCGTGCATGGCACCCGATATGCTACCGATGGCCCAGCAAAGCTGTGCAAAAACACAAAAACACAGATTGAATACACACAAAATTAAACATACTATACTTATCAAAAAACCACACAGTTCCTTCTAAAAATTTTGTATGAATATATCAAGTGTGCATGGATTCAATATGGGGAGCCAAAATGCTACCTGTGGGAATATACTAGATGCCGCAGACCTGGCAATGTATTTTGCAAAATATTTCCAAGACACGTACAGAAAACAACGTGAAGGCAAACTTAATTTAGTGGGAAATATAAAAATGAAACCATGGCCATTTAAGGAGAGAGAAAAAACTTTGGCTTAATTTTAAAATGCTGGCTCTGGGGCCCACCCAGTCTCCTACCAAGTGGGTACCAGGGTTATCTCCTCCAGGGGTAAAGCGCGGCCAGGGCATGGTGCTAACCACTCACCCCCGCCTAGTGCTAAGGTTAAGAATGAGTAGGAGCTATCTCCCCCTCCCAAGTGCTGCCCGGTGTATAGTGGGACAGCTTCTTACTGTATTAAATATATGATTTTAACATAACACACAGAATAAGTATTTTTAAAGCATGACACATATCAATGCAAAGATTTGCAAATTTCATAAGCCTATTTGCAAATACATTTCATGTAACCAAGAATAATAAAATTGTTACAAATCAATTCATATACCTATGAAAAGCAATAAATCATTTATTACACTGGGCACAATGATGGTGGACTGAAACAAGTTCTTGTCGCCCTCGGTGGACTAGTGGTTAGTGTGTTTGCCACTGAACCCAAGGTTCGCGGGTTCAAACCCGACCGAGGTCGACAAATTTTTAAGGGTGATAAAAATCCATAGCACAATTTCCTTCAGGGGGGAAGTAAAGCCAGCAGTCCCATTTCGTAGATTTACGGCACGTAAGAGAACCTTACGAGCATGAACGAGATGTTTCGTAAGCAAAATTCAGCAGCCATTTCTCAACCAAGTCTCTGCTGATTTACTACTAGATGGCTCTAGCAGACAAATCAGGATTGAGTAGAAATTGTGCAGAGGCAGTTGGCTTGTCATTCACTACTCACAGACGCACACTTCAAAGACAGAGAAACCTCCCATAAGGGAGGAGGCCAAGGCTCAACTTCGGCCTGGTGCGCCATAGAAAGAAGGAAAGAAACAGGTTCTTACCGTGTTCAGGTTCTTCCACGACCACTCTGACCCATTGACTTGATTCTGCAGTTTTTCTGTCATGACTCGCTCTGTATCTGCATAATCCAAGTGTGTGAGATACACCAGAGTTTCTCTCATGTTCTTGTACAAGTTGATCGAATCAGTATCCTTCATGAACTCCCGCACAACCTCACCATTCTCATTTTCCACCACTAATACTTCTTCTGGTTTTGCCATTCGACTGATCATAATATATCTTACCTGCAATACATGTACGCACAGGTAAATAACCTCAAAAGAAGAAATTTGTTATTTCAAGGGTGTCATCACTTGTCCATAACTCATGTTTTAACCTTGTAAGAGGTTTCTGATTACTTCAATAATTTATTATTATGAACAAATGCAATTTCAGCTTTTCAGGAGACCTTTGGAATTAGGACTAAAGCCAATACGAAAACACCAAACAAGTTGAAACAGGACTTAGGGTTTTCAAGGCGATGAGTCTGAAGATGGCTGTCTTCTGGGTTGTAGTGCTGTGTAGTCTGGTAGAAGGGATGACTGCCCTGATGATGGAGGCAGCAAAAACCTACGAAACGTTGGTAATCTTCTACAGACTAAACACACGGTGCTACAGCACAGAAGACAGCAATCTTCAAATACAAGTTGAATATGTTTGTCCTGCCCGTGCAGTCCAACTTCACACGACCAATTCTTTAAATGTTAGAGATAAGACCCAACTCCTGACAACACAATTTTGTTGGACACACGTTGGTATATTTAAGAATACACAACATGGGTTAGCTATCCTCCTACCTTCATAAGAATGGTTTAAATTGTTCAGGCAGTTATGTTTTACATTTTCTACATTACAATAAAATGTTTGTGAAATGATATAAATTACAGTATATTCATAATGAAAGGCTGTTTAAACAAATCAGTGACAAAAAAATTTACTGTTTTTTACAAAGGTCAATGCACATGTAAAAAAAGAGGCACATTACATATTAATTTTCCAGAAAATTTTGAGCACTTGATTTTTGTTAAAGATTGTACAAACATTTCAAGCAATGCCAGATGCAAACTGAACTACGTCGAACGAAGCAATATTTCCTTAAAATATTTCAGAGTGTTCAGTTGCATCACTCCCATTGTCAAATTGTAATAATAAAAAACACAAAGCAAGAACATTCTTCTCACTAAAAAGGTTAATCATCGAGTGGCGGGTTTCTATAAATCAATGCAAGCATATAACACTGTTGTACCTTAGTGAGCACTTCACAGTAGAATAACCTTCGTGGTGGAATGGCAGAATTAGTTTTCGCCAGGAAGAGTGGCGAAGGAGCAGTGTATGGGCTCTCCCTATAAAGATCTGAACTCAAGCCATTCCAATACTCTAAGCAGATCTTGAATATCTCTACCTCGTCAACTTCAGAGATTAAGACTAAGTAATGAAGTGCCTGTAAATAAAACATGAAAAGTGAATATACAAGTATTTTATTAACATCATGCAATCTTTGAAAAAAGCAGACTAGTTATTCAAGACTAAATTAAAAATTCTTAATCAGTACGCTTCATAACTTTGGAACTTGGAAGTAATGCTTTCATTATGGAAGGTTGCCAACACACATAAATACTCCAAATATTCATATAAATAAAAGCATTATAGTTGCCCTCTGTGGACTAGTGGTTAGCGTGCTCGCCACTGGACCCAAAGTTCGCGGGTTCAAACCCGGCCGAAGTCGATAGAATCCACAGCACAACTTCCTTCAGAAAGGAAGACAGAGGTCCCATGTCATAGATTTACGGCATGTAAAAGAACCTTATGAGCACGATATGAGATGTTTCATAAGAAAAATTCAGTGACCATTTCTCACACGTCTCTCCTGATTCTCTACTAGATGGCTCCAACAAACAAATATGGATTGAGTAGAAATTGTAGAGGCAGTGGACCTGTCACTCTCTACTCAAATGCACCCTACAAGACTAATAAGGACAAGGTGCCTTGAGCAACAGTCCCGGAATGTGTCAATAGGCCCAATCCTTGTAGTAGTTGAAATGCATTATACGAAAAGCATAAGAAGGCCACCTTCGGATGTACAATAACTATTCTTGATTTTTGTTATGTGGAAATATTTTATCACAAATGAAAACAAGAACACAACTAAAATGTGTAAATTTTTTTGTACATTTGTTTTCTGTTATTGTTTTCACTATGGTCCACGCCATGCCATTAAATTGTAACAAAATAAAGTTTATTCTTAATGATAAAGTCAGCAATAAACCAGCCTTTTCATGACATCAGATTCAAATGCAGCATGCGCTGGTCTCTGCAAAAGGAGGGCATCGCACGGCGAATCCTTTCAACAAATCACATGTCTACGAAGACTTTACGGCAATGGAAATAGCGTATGTAGACAGTACTGAGTTTGACAGATATGACAACACTAATACACAGTATTTAAATTTCTTTTGAGACAAATCCACAAAAATTAAAATTTATACGGCCATATGTAAATGCACATGCTGCACTCTGACCACGGACTGCACAAACAACGCAAACACATACCACGGCAATAAAATTACAACAGTTTTCTTACCTTCATTAAAACATCATTCAACTGCTTCTTCTCCACCAAAGTGCCATGCTCTTTCAAGTAAGTGCATAGAAACATTGCTAGATTTTGTATAAAATTCTGTTCCTGGTCTTGTCCAAAAGCATATGCTTCACGAATATTGGTATTCAAGGGGAGCATCTGTAAGAGAAAAATAAGTGTTGCATTCTGTGCAATACTTCCTTTAGAAAAATGTCTGGTTTCTTCTTGAAGTCCCACTTTTACAGTGCCAGCCACATAAATAAAAGCCACATTACATAACACTTGTCAGCACGTTTTATGGACGGACAACGTTAGAAAATTTAAATTTGATACTGAGAGAGATTCACCACAACCAAGCACTGGAAGGGTTGGCTCCATGATCATGAGCCTGTAACATTCAGACCACTGACACCAATTTTAATAAACAATCATGTTATTCAAACAGCCCACAATGAAGCAACCAATTTATTACACAGTGCTTACAAAGTACGATAATTTTGAAACAACGCTACAAAAAATAAAAAAGCACATCTTACCTGTTCCAGCTGTGCCATTGTATGAGTAAACATAACTATGAACATGTCATCATAGTTTGTGACAGTCACACCAGCAATCTCTGTCAGACATTTCAACGTCACATTTCGGAACATGGGGACATTAAGAAACTAGAAACAAGAAACATATTATTGACAGCAAATTTCATTTTACATGCATAATGTATCAGTTTCATTAATAAAGGTATGTTCTTTTCCTTAACAACATACCTTAAATATGAGTGTGTTTATAAGCTTTGTTTCAAATATATAACCCAAGGGAATCCAGTTAAGAAACCTCAGCAGCGTCTCCAACGTAGAACCAACAAGCGGCGCATTTTGTGAATTGTCCTTTAAACAGATAAACAAGTCAGCAAACGTACACATAGCAAACACTTTTTATTTAAATAAATAATCAGTGAGTTACACTCGAGAAGAACGAAGAAAAACATGTAAGTCTTCCAGTGAAGCGTTCGTTTTTACTACCCAAATTGCAATGTGTTAACAAATTTAGTAAAAATTCAAAAAATAATTAATTAGCCATCTTCACACAACAAAATAATATATAAGCACTATGCACTTGTTTACAAGTTGAAATACATTTATTATATGACATGTTCCGAACACGTGGTCCAACATAAAGCAACTGCCTATGCAAATATTTTTTCTTTGGTAGTAATATAAAGCACAAAGCACGCCTGTAAAAAACAGTCTGAATAAGGACATGTATTGATACAAAGATGGCGAGGACGCAGCACAATGAAGTTTGGTAGTCTCCATAGTCACTGCCTACCATTTACAGATATTCACATTGTTTCAAATATAATGTTGAACATAAAACATTCATATATGATACATTTGTACAGCATTCTTTATGGAATAAATGCTGTGAAAAGTTCTGTAGGAAGTATCCAGACAGTACAGTACAGCGTAAAGCAATGATTTACATAATAGAATTATGTTCTATGAAATCAGTGCTGGACAAAAAAGATATATATTATAAAAACTTAATGACTTGATCAGAAGAAGCCTGAAAAGTTATTACATCTTTCGGCTCTTCAGCGCAAGTCGACAAAAGGTACAGCTCACATTGGCACAAAGTCGCGGCCTTAGAAATGTACCGTCATTTATAGCATTTCGCCTCCAAATTTCAAAGCAAGAATACGATATTGAGGTGGTTTCAGGAATCAGTATTCAATGGACTTCCTGACCAAGAACTAATGACAAAGCGCGATCCACATAAACAACCATAACAACGGGTACTGAAGCACAGAAAGTTCTCGCGCTGTTCATGAAGTGCCACTGCATCATTTAAAGTTTGTGTTTGGTGTGAAATTATTGCTTGGAGGATAAATGGGCCACGTCTTTCACGAAACAATTCTGCGCATTACATCAGATTGTCGTCCTTCTTCAATCAACTGATTGACAAAGAAAAATTGTGGACATTTTATACAAGACAATGCAACAACTTACACTGAAAACAATTCTGATTGCATTAGACGATGTCTTTGGCAAAAAAAAAAGCCATCGTGGCCTCCGCAATCACCAATTTTAAATCCCCACTATTATCAAAAGTCAATAGTATCCTGAAGTATACAGTATTCACCTGAAGATGATCTTACTGTGGTATAATTAACGAATAAATAAAACCTAAAAATATTAGTGTGGACAGACCCACTGTATTATTACTGCATAAGTTATCACACAACACGATGCTAAGAATCAAGATGGTGGATCTTCTCATAATGCAATCGGCACCTCACAAACTTTACAGTCTCTTCTCCCATAACAATGTACTGTACTATGCTATACTATAACATACTACACCACGCTATTAAGAGGTGCAGCTGAACTGTCGCAAACGCAATGCAAATCTCGTAAACCTGAACATTGGACTCACCATAACAAACTGACACAACTGAAAAATTTGTGAGAATTCTGAACACATGGTATCCTTCAGATGCTTGGCTTTAGTCTGTGTCATCTGACCACTGGAGAAGTCAAACACTTCTTCACTAAGAAGCTTGAGGATCGCCATGTTGTTCTGACAAAGGCTCTCATTGGTCTTACTTGCTCCAACAATGTCGGGAATAAACGATTCCCAGTTTTTGGGCCATTCACGTTTCAATACCTGATGACAGAAAACAGAATTGCGGTCGTCCTTTCAAAACACAAATATATGCCACGTTCATCAAGAGCCAACTTGGCCCAAATCTCTGAAAGGGTTACAAATCTTTTCTTCAATATTACCTCCAGCAAACTTACTGGAAAACAGTTCTTCTTGAGAGGCTGACAGATAATCAGCTGATCAAAATATTACCAACCTTTCATAGACCACAGGTTTATTACCATATTGACGAGTTGCCTCTAGACCTATTTAGCCCCATCTGCACCTCAATCAAAATGGTCTCTTCCCTCCAGGTTTCTTTTCACACACTTTTCATCATTGGCCTGTCCTTTATTACTGATTCCACAATGAATGAGAGGCAAAGTAAACAATACAAACATAGGGAGTCAGTCAGCGGAGTGAGAGAGGGCTGCTGGCAGAACAGGAGTAAGGAATCTGTCATTACATATGCACTTTAGGTGAGCTAGAGGACTAAATTAAACTATCAAACAGTACTGTTAGTCATTATTATTATTATTATTTAGTGTTCAGTCTGACGACAGGTCCATATGAACAGGATCCTTCCATCCTTTTCTCGGACTGGGACCTGTTCATATACGTTCTTGGCAGATGATCCAGAAGTGGTTTGCCATTGCCTTCTTCTGTGTGTGAATGGAGTAATTGTTGGGATGCCACGGAGGAAAACTCCGTGTTGCCTAGACCACGGCCTTGCCCAACACGTTATAAATCCGGGCACCGCCGGGAATCGAACCCGAGACCCCAGGATTACAAGGCCAGCGTTCTAACCGCTAGACCACCGTGGTGGTACAAACTGTTAGTCATAAGACTGGTAATATTCTTTTCAAGGGGTATGGCTGCATCTTCGAATGGCAAAGGCACTCACTGACAAAAGTGGGTCTACGGCATTAATCATTCCACGTACCTCGTTTTGAATCATTACCATCAACCGTGCTGTGATGTTAACACGTTATTTTTTGTGAAAGATTAATTTTTAGAGTGGTGATAAGTGTATATCACAGTACAATAAGTTCCATGTTTTTACAACAGGTAGTAGTCACCACCAGAGGAAGGGTGGCAGTACAATGGGTGATTATTAGTAGAAGCACCTTTACGCACAGAACAGAGAAATGGCTCAACGAATCTTCCTTTCACAACACACCTGATGTTTCATGATGTACTCTTACCTGTACAAGAATCATGTTCAACTTGTTCAGATACATTTTCTCCCTCTCCATTACATTCGGATCTGATGAAGTTTTGATGATTAAACCTACGATGTACTTTTTTATGCCTGAAAATAAAAATATACGAGTTAGCAATGACTTAGCCTCGGCTTTTCCCTCTTTATAAGCACGCCACATTTACTAAACTTCACAGTTCTTGACACTCTTTTTAAAACTTGTAATTTCACGGTAGATGTAAGACTTGAGGTTCTCACAGCGGTGAGTATGAAGATATCCGTCTTCTGGGTTATTGCGCTGTGTAGTCTGGTCGATGTCCATCATCAGGGCGATGAATATTCATCGCCCTGATGATGGACATCGACCAGACTACACAGCGCAATAACCCAGAAGACGGATATCTTCACGGTAGATACCTGCGTCAGAAAATAAAGTCACCAGAAATAAAAGTCATAAACCCTGAAACGAATGGTGCCTACAATAAAGCCATCGATGCCACATCTCAGTATCTTTTGAACACATCTCTGACGTGCTAGTAATAATCAATGCCAGATACATTTCTGAAAACATCAGTGATAGAAACCAAATGCTTTTAGCCAGATTCCACACACTGGTAGTCACAACGCACAGCTGTGTATAGCAAGACAGGTATATAAGCAGTGCATAAATACAGGTTGTGCAACAGAGACAGCGGTGTTCTGCATTCAAGAGAACTGTTTTAACAGGAGTGATTTAAAGAGCAAGAGAACTGAAATTAAAATAAATAATTAAATGTATGTGAATAAACCAATCTTGTATTTTAAAGAACCCACTACGCTATTAATTCACTCATTCAGGAAAATGTAAAATTAAATAAATACAGCATTTTCACACGCAGGTCGCATTATATGTATTGCTCGTCAACTCTCTTTTCCACTTATTAAAGGAATGAGATGACCACAAATGTGTCAAACTATAGAAATTTCTATAATAAATTAAACAATCATTACCTTCACATTGGTTCCTGGGTAGAACTTTCCATCGCGTCTTTATGACTTGTTCTAGAATCTGAAGAGCATAATACTTAGTTTGCTGGTTATTGGAAAATTCAAGAATGGTATCGACCCTCGTCCAAGCATCTGGATGCTCCTTGAGTGTTGTCAGCACTTCCTGGGCAACACGTTGCTAAAACAAAAGAATTACATTAAATTATTTTAGTAAAGGTAATCACATACACTGAGATATACAAAATCAAGTTTAAATTCTCAGCACCAGTTACCACAAGAAAGGATCCCAAGTGAAAGTTCGCACTACTACACGCCTGCATTTACAACATGAACAGAGGAAACGAAGTTACCTGCTCTCATATCCTTTCCTTGCAGTGGGGGAGACAAGCAAATGGTAAAGTGAGAGAAAAACATACAAAACACCATTCGATTTAATATTAAGGGATTCTGTTTTCAAAACTGCATACATAATGGTCCACCTTCTCTCTACACCTTTACATATTATGACATGTTAATGCTTTTGTTGTATATCACCCTTCCCATCAATGTTTTGTAGCGTCCACTATAGTTACATGTATATTACTGTATTTTATTCTGCAACGAAGCCCCAGTTTTGACGGTACTTGACAGCAATTTAGGTGCTATTAATAAAGTAGTGGACTCATGGGCTGAGGTGGCAGGCCCAACAGACCCCTTAAAGTTCTCGGCTAATCTACAAACAGCAAGAAACAGCGCTCTCTTTCGAGTCCTCACTATAAATACTTGGAGGAGCACTGAATATTTGAAATATTTGAGAAGCTTATGAAAACAAGTGTACACATCTGGTGGAGTTAGAGTACTTATTAACAAGTAAAAGCATGACCAAGTAGTGTAATTAGACAGAAACACAGATAAGAACAGTTTATTATACAACGTAGAAGAAAGCATAATTACATGGATAAACAGGTCTGTGATTTGTTAAGCGCAGAAATTAATTCGGCAAATAATAAACTGTACTCATAATAGTGTGTAATAAATCCATCATGAGTTAAAAACCTTCTGTGTAATCAATTAACATGTAACAAGCTAATCCTCACATATTAACTAAAATACACTTTACTGAAGCTTCTTTCATGGAGTGCCACAAGGCAGGCACGTGAAGACCAATAGCCGTGCCCCGGAGAATAAGCTGCGTAAAATAACAGGTAAAAATCGAAGAATTGCGGTAAAAGTTACGGGTCTACCCATTTTCTGCTGTGTGACAGAGCTAACGAACTCTTCCATAATAAAAGTATTTCCTTCAAGTAACACATAGCATGCAAAGACACTTCAATTACGATACAACCACCAGACTGGTAACAAACTGTCAGTTGCATTTGTGTGACATGGGCAATGGGAGTATATGCACCTACAAAGAAAAATATCCTGGCCCATGACACCAAAAACACTGTCAGCTGGAGGGGGTGAAACATGCGGTGTGTAGAGCAAAAGAAGGCGTGTAAGTTGCAAACCTTGGGAATGTGTTAGTTATTTGGGTGGGGGCAGATAAGTGTGAAGAATGGAACAACAGCAATTGATGGAAGTTATTTTTAAGGAACAAGTAAAAATACTTAGCGGATGAGTGTAAAACATTATGGATAGAAAAATCAGTATGCACTTTGCTCCAAAAAGTAAAATTATAATGCAGTAAAATACTTACTAGCCCTTTATGCTATTATTATAAATTTTTTGTACAGACACACACAACAATTTTGCCTTTTCCTATATCCTAAAGATCACAAGTACAATACTTCGTATGCCAAATGCCATTTCAAACAAAAACACATAAAAATAAAACTATTTAAATTTACCACCAGCCTCCTCGCATTAATGCCAATACTGATGGTCGAGAAAGTGTGGTCCTCTAGTGGGGTTTGATTGTATACAAACTTCATTAAATTTTTAAGCAGAACTTCATCAGTGCAGCAAGATATTTCAACAGCACTCAATAACTTAAGCAAAGTAAAGCTGTCCCACAATACACCATGTAGGCACTTGGGAGGAGAGAAGGTACAGCTCCTACTCAACAACACTGAGTTGTGGTGTCGCAAAATCTTTCAGACATCAGACAGTACTGAGCAAAGAGAAAACCATCTACAATTTAGAAGAAACCTGAGGATATGATGGCAGCAAAATGGAAAAGATGTGACAGGATCAAGTGATTAGGTCTGCATACAATGCTTCTGAAAGCACTAAAAAGATCCTTCAGGGAAAGGAAAGTACTACAAACTGGCAGTGAAAAGATATTTGTGGACAGTGAGTGATCTGTAAGTGTCCGAGTCATATACTCTCATTCAACAAGGCAGCATCATGAAGAAACTGCAAACTCTGGCAAAACTGATATGTCCATTCACCTTGTAATAAACTGTATACAAGCCCCATTATATAACATTACTCAGTTATTAAAAGAGGACCTACAAGCACATAATAAATGTGCCATAACAAACTCCTAAGATTGATGACTTTATTATTACATTAAAATCAGAATATGGTAAAACACATCAAGGACCTACATGGAAGAACACTTGAAATGGTTGAAAACGTTTTACAAATGGACGATGTTCTTACTACAAAATACTTTTGCATACAATCCTAAAGCAACATTATTTCCAATACGACAATTACTGCAAGACCAACAGATGAATAGCAATGGGCACACCATTGTCACGACTTGAATGAAATCGTTTAAAGACTTCTCTGTACAAAATACAGTGTCACCCTAACAATAAGCTTTTGTGGTCCACAAATGTAATATATTACTATAAAAATTTGTGATTTCGTCGTCGTCAATAAATTACGTCATCAACAATGTCAACTATAAACAAACTCGGCATTGTTGTGGAACACAACAATGCTGAGTACAACACAACAATGCCGAGTTTACTGTCTTACTCAAGATTTTAAAACGCAACCAACCCCCCGAAAGGGGGTTGGTTGCTTTTTAAACACTTGATCAAGCTCCCCCGAAAAAAGGGGTTGGTCAAGTATTTTAACCCTCCATTCGGGGGGTTTAGATTAGTTTCTTACACAAGATTTTAAAACGCAACCCCCCCCCCCCCCCCCCC